GGGTGCAACATTAATCTTCCTGAATAAACTTGGCGAAGACCGTTGTGATTTGTTCCAGCTAAGCGTAGACTTTCCAGGAAACCACTCGAAGCTGCCCTCGCTGCCTCTGGAGCTCGGTAGTCCCGGGAGCCCGAGTATGTCTGACAGTCCTGGAGCTGGTTCAATGTTTGTGCGCAGCCAAATGCCAAAGCGCCTGTCCAGCTGTACGACAGGCGTGCGGTTTTCGATGGCAACTTCATGCAGTGGTGGGATGAGACTCCTTCCACGTGGCAAAAGTGGCCCGTAATGAATGAACTTCGAGCCATTCGAGCCCTGTCGCCGATCCCCTAGCTGGCTGGCTGGTTCTGGCTTGCTGGTTGGGGGGGCGGGCTGGGTGGCTGCCCTTATCCTCAAGAAAAGAGTTGCCGGAACAAGGCGTAGAAATCATTTTCGTAGGGGTGAAGGATCAACAATAGAAAGTGTTCCTGGAGGATCAACGAAAACATAAGAAAGGGATAAGAAAACAAAGACCCCGCTCCAATGATCAAAGCGACAACGGTCACAGGGATCGGGCTGGAGGTCTCGTGACCGTTGTTGTTTTTGCCTTCCCCCACCCGATTGACCAATTGGTTGAAATTGCATTTTAGACGAGGAATCAGTTTGACATCCGAAGTTGCGGCACTCTAGATGTTTTCGAAGCTTCAGATGCTGGGGCTTTGGAATGATGTGACTTGCAGGATTCGAATGTTTTCGAAGCTCCGAATGCTACCGGATGCCCCAAAGCATTAAGCATTTCTTCTTGCCATGATCCCTGTGTCGGGTAGACGACACAGTGCAACCGACAACTGAATACACACACACACACACTCACACACACACACACACACCAATGGCTCTGTGCGGAGACCAAAAGCAGAAGGCCCAAAACTGAGAAGAACCTGCCCCGAGGCCACCAACACCCTACCAACTCGCAGGAAGCATCCTCCGAGCTCAGTGTCTGCCGGGAGATGCCGAAGTCTCCGATTTTCACCTCCCACATTTTCCGGGCATTTGGGGGTTGGAGGCTTTTTGTTCGAAGGGCCTTGGGAGAGTGGGCGTCCCGTTTTGAGAAGCTCGGGGCAGCCTGAATGTTGCTGATGCTGTATACCCTCAGAATCCAGCCTTGATTCCGTATACCCTTGGCTACCAACAAATCTCAGTGCTCACGCTTCAAAGAACTGTCAGGAAGCTATGGCTGTTCGCGGACTGGTCTACGTGGGCATGGCCCGATTGGCACAATTTTGGTCCCACCCCGATTTGGGTCAGTCGTCAAAAGCCCTGGCAGCCGAGATGTAGAATTTTGTTGGCGCTCTTCGGCTGTTGCGATGAAGCATAGATCCCAAACCCAGAAGCTACAAAGATATTCTCGGCACCTGCATTACGTCACGGTCGGTGCAGGACAGCAGGAGGTTCTCTGGCTTCAGATCCTGAAGAGGATGCTCGTTCACCACATCTGGTGGGGAGCGAGGCTTTGGCAGTTTGTGGTGGCGCCTGGCGAGGCTTTTGTGCTATGAGTGCAGACAGGGGTTGCTTAGGTAGATCCTCGATCATCCCTTCCTTAAGGGTGTCAACAAAAGAAGTCTATTTTTACCCTCGGATGGAAGGGGGATGCACTCTGTGGCAAATAGCAGCAATCCCCCCTTTGTGCATTTCTTAAGGGTGGGGAGAGGACCCTCGAATGAAAGCACTGTAATCTCACAACATGAGCTAGAGAAATGGTGGAAGCAGGATGACAGTTGTCAAGCAGGGCCATGTAGAGCTCTGTGTTTACAGTCAGTGCCGGTTTTTGTGCTGTCCGACCCGCGTTGCTGACCATGATCTTTTGACTCACGAGCGTTTAGATACTTTAGATACGTGCCATATTGGGACGAGAAGCCAGAAAGCTAATCATTGCTCCAGCTTGGGTAAAGAACACGTGCAGGCACAAGGCCGAGCGGGGCATATGACGACATAAAGATATCAAGCTCCTGTTCGCGTATAGCATAAGATGAGCTCCACGCGCCTGTGTGGCGTACGCGCAGACTTAATCATGCCAGTTCTCAACTAATTTTGCCTACGCGCCGGCTAGGTGGGGCTCAGTCACCAGTGGGGGCGCGATAAGCGGAATCAGAGTCTCGGGGCTCGAGTCGGGGCTGGGTAATGGCTCCGGATCTCTCTGGGGGCCCGGCACGATGCACGATGTTTTTGCTATGTACATAAGACCTTGGCACTGTGTCTGGCATAGAGAGCACGGCAAATTCTGCATCATGCCTTCCCTGCACAGTGTGCAGAAAGTATGGCATGCCCATAGGAAGAACTAACTACTCAATATGTAGCAGGCGCAACAGATACTGAGACCTGGACTGTCTTGACAAGCCCATGGCTGTACACAGGTTGCACAGCCCCGCTGCCCTCTATGATCCCTCGACCCGAGCTGCCCTACAAATAGCCAAAAGCTTTGGCACATGCTCTGCTCTGCTGCCAGGCCACAGCGTGTCAGCTAGCTGCCGGAGGAGCCGCGCAGCCTGGGCCTCTGAGAACCTTGGACTCGGGAGCCCACCGCAGAACTGCGATTGTCTTGTGTTCGTGGCAAAGATCCATGATTCTTGATCGGCATGTTTGCAGCACACTGCAGCAGTTCTAACTAACTCTGCACGGCAGGTGTTCAAGCATCTGGTCTGCAAGGAACGGGGTTGTTTGGGGTCCGAACAAATGACCTGCTGATGGGGCACCTTCCCTGCTGGGCGATGTCGTGAAACATGTCGCCGCCTGGGACATACTCCTGGACAGGGGTCAGCGCTCCGGGTGTTTCTGCACAAGGCAGCTGCGGCCTGCAGTTGCGAACTTCAAAATGATTGCCGCACCTCTCATAACAATGGCAACTCTAAGCCTGATCTCCAGAGCCTCCATTGTCCTCGATCTACATAAGGTTCTGAAACCAGGATAAAGTCCAAGCTTGAAAGAAGCCTCCAAGCCTTAATCAGACTTGCACCATCAACAAATACACCCGAAACCAACTAAGGTGTGAGATTTGTGGTTTAGCTTTACACTGTACACCCTTCGTAAACCCTCGCGGGTCCATCACCAAGCACAGCTGGTTGTCGTCCTCCACGCAATTCCTGTGAGATCAGGGGGATTTGCTTAGTAACTCAGGGTGCTTGCACATCTTCTTAGGCCTTGGGGTTTCTGCTCCCCGCCCTTGCTAATCAGGTCCACAGGCATGAACCAGGTCTGCAAATCTCATTTGAAACTCTCCCTCGGTGCAGAATCATACTTACTTACCTCTTGTTGGCATCCTCTCACATCAGCTCAAACTCGAAAAGAAATGGAGAATTTACTGTCGAGGTGCAGGCGCTCAATACAATACAAAGGCCCCAGTTTTGTAGCAGGCCTCTTCAGAGCACACGTGGATGTGCTTGCGCACGCTACCAGACGAAGGCCCCAGGCACCATCAAACCTGAGCCCTCAAAGGGAAGCTCCAACTACAACCTTATTTTACCCCAGACCTTTGGTTGTAAAAATACTGAAGCGCAGAAAGCCCAACCCCCAACTCTTGAACAGCTCGAGATCACGAAGCCGTAGTCTTTGGCGCCAGAAATCTGCACCCTCCCCTCCAGCTGTCTGCAGGCTGGCAGCAGCAGTCTCACAATCCCGGGGTGCTCCAGCCTGAGCCGTGAAGGCAACAGCAGGGTTGTTCAACACCTCAATACAAAATAGATACAAGGAGAGGCGCAAGCCGGCACCAAGCTACGAGCAACAGCGCACCAACGACCAACGCTTGCCAAGGAACTCTTTCATGAGCTCAGCCTCCTGGACAGCAGCGCATGGAGTTCGTGTCTACTCTCGTTGAGTGTGCTCGCCTTGTGCTCGTTGAATAGGGAAAAACACGGCTGCAAGGTTCAACCAACTAATTGCAGACCTGTTGCGCAGGGTGTGGTTTCTCCAGCTGAGCATCACCAGAAAGTGCGTGCAACGCGTGCAATACACGTCAGTCTGTTGACGTATATTATTCATTGAGGCCGTGTGGCCTGTTCTGCTTCTCTTGCCGGCTCCAGCAACTTGCTGCGAGAGAAAAGGTGCGCAGTTTCTCTCCTTTCTTCATGGATGTCGTCATGGTGATTTGCAGATTCGCTTGTTCCCAAGGCTTCATGAAGCCACGGTCCAAACAGTTTGTGGGAAGCTGAAGCTGCAAGCTTCCACTCCCGACTTCTAGGGCTGAGGACCTGAGGCCTTGAGAAGTTCGAGAGGCAGGGCCCGGCCAACGAAAGCTGGATGAGCAGGCAACAGGGACCGGGTGTCAATAGGAGGGGAGGTTCAGAGTCAAGCTGACAGCCGTTTTTGTATGCAGAGACAGTTAGTGTTGTGGCCTTCTCAGAGTTTGACAGGCATGGATGCTCGAAAGAAAGCATTGCAGAACTAGCTTGTTACAGCTTGCTTATTGCAAAAGCAAATTGTGTTCCTTGCATGTGACAAACACCGCTTCGTTCAAGGGCTTCGAGATCTTCAAGACCTTCGAACGAAGTCTTTGCCCAACTTCGCATCTACGGGGTACCGTGCGCTGGCTTGAAGAAGGTAGGGCGAAAGACATGTGGCCGAATGTAGCCCAGGCACCCCCAATCTCCAAACCCTCAAATGTCCTGTCTAAGGGATGGTCCCGGTCGCATGAGGAAGCGGCACTTCTCGATGCACTGGCCAGGATCAGAGCTGGGGGGTTGGGAGGCGCCCCAATGTTGAGGCTCTTGCACACTTCAGGGAAGAATTCACCAGAGCCGTTTGGATTTTGGAGCATCTACCTGAAGATGCCAGGTGTGATCAAGGAGCATTTAGTCTGTGGTTCAGGGCTCAGGCTCTACATTGCTCAAGCAGGTCCCAGGTGTTTTTGCCTTCCGCCGCTCTGGTTCCTGGCCTGACTCGCATTCCTCACTACTGCACAAAGGTCAGAAGAGAATATGCGATATTCAGTTAAAAAGTTCTGGAACACTGTAATCAGAAACTCAGGCCCGTCAGTCTGGCGGCTCACACCGCTTGCGGCGCTTGCAGCGACCGGTGGCAAGGACCTGCGATTGATGTATAATATATATATATATATATGTTATGTCACATACATCCACCATGCTTTCTCGCGGGACGAGCGGAAGCACAAGCGTGCAGCTGAATGGAAGACAAGTTTAGGACATGTTAACGGCTTGATCGTTTTGCATCTGGCCTGCTGTGACAGGGCTTGATAGTTAAAACTGGGAACCGGCTTAAGAATCTGACACATCTTTTGATTCAAGTAGATCTCTACTTTATTCAAGCGTAAAGAGCCAAACTAATCGGTCCCTGCTTAGTTTGCGTCTGGTCTTTGTGGGTCTTTGTTTCCAACCTTTCAAAACCCCCCCCCCCCCCCCCCCCCCCCCCCCCCAAAAAAAAAAAAAAACCCAAACCCTGAGCCTCCACCAGCACAGGCACATCGAGGCTCATGGGGCCCGAGCCCAGCAGCTCCCCGAGGCGCGGTGTTTCCTCTCAGGTCAGGTGAGGGTGCTTAGGCCCCGCGTTGTGCCTTTCTTTCATCGTTGGGGAGTTTTGTGGCTTCTGAAGCACTATCACTTATGAATGCAAAGAATCTAGGTCCTAGGTCAAAAGACGGAATGCGCACGAGCCTCCTCCTGGACTTGCCGCTGTCCCGAGCCCACGCCCTCGCTGAGAAGCGCCACGGCGGCGCAAGCGCCTTGAGCTTTGCTGCTTCGTCTTTGGCGCAGGGTCAAGGGAGGACTTGAGGTGTAAATGAATATATGCTGTTGAAGTTGCTGGTGTCGAACTTGTGCAAGCAAGCGGAGTCAACACTGGAATAGCACGCAGCCACTTTGAAAGTTCTGCGAAGCTCTAGCTGCGTCGAGTGTTCCGAAAAATTGAGGGGTTCTTAACCTCAGATACCGTGTTGTGACTGGATTCAGGTGTAAATTATGTTAAATGCGGCAAAACATCAGCAGGGAGAGGCCTTAGCATCTAGAGTTGGCATCCCGAGCCCGGACCAGGACAAACTGCGTCTACATGCCTCCGAAGACAGCTCCGTGCGTGCATTGCGCGCCCACATGGCCAGGAACAGCACCTGCCAGCATGCCATGCGCCGGCAGCGGGGTTCAGGACCTTTACTTAGGGGACATTGTGAGAACGTCTTGACTCAGACCCATCATGACACATCACTGTGCAGAATTCAGGTACAGGCGCCCCCGCATGTCCATAAAACATTGGAGATTGTAGCTTCCAGCTGCCTTTAGGGGCTTTCTCTTCGTCTTCACCTCTAAACTACCTGCTAGCATCGTCATGCCCATACACTGACATTTGGACTTGCGGGCAACATTATGCTAGTATTCCAAGCTTGTTTGACAGGTTGTGGCGATCTTTTTGAAGGTCAGGTCCGCAGGTTCACAGGGAAGCACAAAAGTCTGTCGCGAGGGCTTTTGTAAGATCTGATAAGGTCCGCATGGCACTCTGCATGGCTATGTTCGTCACAGTAGGTTGCGACCTGTGTCCTGGGAATGGAAAAAAACTTCCGCCTGCTAAGAATGCATTTGCTGCTTCGTCTCAAACTCTCAGTGGTCTGTGGTACAAGTGGACCTCTTCCCTTGTACCAGAATCTGTGGGGGAGGGGGGGGGTCGATTCGACCTACGGCCGACGCCGTCGCTGCACCTCCTCTCGATTTCTAGGATTTTGCTCGACCTTGTGCTGCAAGGGCTTACCTGGAATAAACTAGTCACTTATGTACCTAGCGAAAGGGAACTTTGCCTTAGCTATGAGTGTAAATCAAGCTTTTCTTGCTTCTTGTCCATGGTCTATGTTTGCAATCTCGACAACTTTGCGTGCCAACCCATCTGGAAGACAAACACCTCGCAAATTGCACAGGACTAGAATTCCCCACATGATACCTCGCAAATGCCATGTGACCGGACTTCCTCGAATACAACTCCCTTGAGACTGCAATGCTCCAGCATGTCAAGCCTTCGCCGGTAAACAAGAGTCGGCCTTCTGGCCTCCTAGGAGGTCGCGAGCGGGAAGCAAGACTATCTTTGCACAAAGCAGAAGTGTTCTGACGGGCTTATGGCTGGCGACTTGCGGTTAACAAATAGGTTCGGATTTCTGCGACCGAGTTGCGCATAGATGTCACGATCCTCCTCGCTTGCAAGGGGGTCCTGAAACTCGGTATAGGCTCCTGCCAGAGGAACAAACTACAGTGACAGCAGAACCCGCATCAAAGAGCAAACTCCACCCTTGCAAGCTCCTAGAGCAAAGGGGTCCAGGGACCACCGCGTGACCTTCCACAACGGGGGGAAGGGCACGAAGTCCTCAAGGTGGCCAGGTCAGCACTGTTGCAGACTGTTTGGCAGTGACATGAACTCTCACGTGGGATAAAAATGGCTGTGACGCAACTCTTCGTCTGCCTTGTGAGAGTTTTCAGGCGGCGCCCCCACCCCCCGCAAGTGAACGATGCACGCCACTGGAAAGCGGCAGCGAATGAATAGTAGCAAATTGTCTGCACGCTCCCTCAGAGGTCTCGATTAGCCAAAGTCGATGGAGTTCACTACGATCGCTTGTTACACAAACCCTAAACCCTAAACCCTAAACCCGTCCTGTTTGTGATCATCACCTTTGGACGACCTTGCTGGGAAGATAGCGCGCAGCCTGCAAAGGAAGCTCCACATTCTGAATCGTTGGACAAGTCGTCTATAGTTATATGATGATTAGCAAGCCACAGATGGGAAATGCAAGAGTCGTCATTTTGCAGAGGTATTGTGGATATGTTGCAGAATGTTGCACATTGACTTTGCAGATGTTGTTGTTTTTCCGGGTGCATGTTCTGTTGCAGATTGTTTGCATGTTGTTTTGCAGATTCTTTGTGGTCTTTGAGTTGATGCCACACAGTTTTCTTGTAGTATAGACAGTGCACGCAAACATACGCAACAAAAGATGGGCAAACATGTGGAACATGTCCAAACAAGGTGCAAAGATGTGCACCACAATACGCAAAACATGTGCAAGCCAAGAAATACAAACATCCGTATGCAACCCCCAACACGCAAAACGCAAAACATGTGAAACACACATGTTTGAAAGTGTATAGTGTGGCCCCAATCATCGCATACGTCTATGGATACACTCCAGGGCTCAGATGGAAATGCATGCTGCCAGGCAGCCCGCCAACCACTTCCCTGACAACCTCTTCATCAGTCAAGCGAGAATGCTCCTCGTCAAGAAGGAAAGCATTGAAAATGCTCATTGTCGTGGTCGTGCCACTCTAAAAAGCGAAGCTGACAGTCACTGTAGGAGTTCACTTGGCCGGACGCCTGGAAAGATGCTACTTTCTCAGTCCACTTGCAGAAAGGCTTGCAAGCCTTCAGAAGAGGTTTATAATTGCTGGGAGTGCCGACTTCATGGCGACGGAGGTGCGCTGAACACGCAAACCAAAGGCTCGCCTACCCTATCTGTTGGAAAGAATCGGAAGGAGGAGACGGTCGAGCGATCAAAACACGCCCTGCGGTAGCTGTATAGCTCTTTGAAAAGCATTCTTACAGCTATGCCAATGCACGCATTCGGGCTCCGGTCAGCGATCGTCGACGGAGGTGTGGCAGCGAATGGCAGTACTGAACCAAGTGTTCTACAATCCAGGTTCCCAAACTCCATCTTTAGATCCTGGAATGCCGCGAGAAGGTCAAGCTCGGGGCTGAGGCTCTGGGGTTCAGGCTTCAGCAGGCTTCAGCAGGCTTCAGCAGGCTTCAGCAGGCTTCAGGCAAAGGGTATCCTCCCAGTTGGAGTCGCCCCAAATGTGGCACAGGAGTTGGCCTCCAGGGACTCTGTGTCCGCATGCGTGTCTTCAAGCTTAAAGCACTAGGACTTCAAGTTTGAGCTGTAGATTTTGGGGCCTGGCTGAAGGTTGAAAGGGCTGTGGGGATTGTCGCGGGGGTTTGTTAGCTGCTTCTAGAAGCTTCACGCGAGGTTGCGATTCGTCGGCTCCCTGCAACATAAGCCGCCCAGCAACAAACACCAAAGTCCCTGGAACCATCAAGCAAAGCCCCTCACAGGTCGTATGTCTTGTTCCGCTGAAGCCCTGACCTGGAACACCCTGGGACCTAAATCGCAGACCCTGGCTTTAATCCAATATGCCAAGACCCCACTGCTTCTTTATTAGCTTGCGAAAGCGGTCGTGTTCCTAAATTGTCAGCTCTCGATCGCGGAGCCGGTACATCTTGATGGCTAAACTCTGAAACCAAAACCCGCGAGCACCCAGCCCCAAGCCATCTCACACCCATGTTGCATGAGATCCCCCCCTGTCACAGTAGAACCCACATCCGAAACCGTCCTTCCCGGCCATACTTGTGCAGGTTGAGGAAGTGAAACCGCTGGTCCGTCGTTTCAAACTGCAAGGCCTCGGTAGTTGCAGGTCTCAAAAGCTGGGATAGGGCGATTCAGGAGATCGAACAAGAACTAGTGTGGAGCTTGAGTCGAAAGTAAGGATAGCCGAGCTATCCCAATAGACGGAACTGCTTTCAACGACTGCCAGCTCTCTCAAGTTTACGATATATAGGGCTTGGGAAGCATGTGCTTGCTTGAGCCAAGCACAAGCACGCCAAATCTTGCAGCTCCTTGCAGCTGCGGGGCCGCGCCACATCCTCCCAACACCTAAGCACATCGTATGGTCGGGTTTCGACTCACTCTTGCCTGAGACCTGGGACCCGCAGCTTCATCTTCAAGAAATCCCAGGGAACCTCCACCACGAACGGCTCTGACACTGGCCATCGAAGGACAACCTGCTGCTGCCGTGTTTAATTACAGCGCATGAAACTTATAGAATGTTCGAGATGTTCGAGAAATGTGTCTACAAGGTGATTCCGAATGCCTGCTCCTCAATCTCACCAAATGAATTCATGCACAACGCCGGAAATTCAAGCCTTCTCGTGCGTCGTGGCCCCGCGTCTGGGCAGAGACAGCCTGTTACCAAACGCCTACCTGCTTGAACGTCCTACGTCCCGGCAAGGGTTAGGATCAAGCAACAAACTGTTGATCGACGATAGGGCCGATAGGGAATGCCAAGACGCGCAAAGCTTCGCTCGGAGCACGTTCTTCAAGACCAAGTTTCAACCGTGCTCTGCTCAAGTTTTTGGCGCCGCGCGCTCAGAGCCGGGCAAGTTTTGCAAAAAAGAGTCTGGTGTTTTGTCAGTTTTGTCTGATTGTAAAACACACAAACACACGGTGTCATCGTCGTCGCTGTTGCTGCTTGCTGTTGCTGGCACATTCGATGTGGAAAGTCGAGTTCTGGAGCATCCGCTCTCCGACCCTTGGAAAACACGGTTTTGTTCAAAGAGGTGCGCCCGATGAGTTGAGTTGAGCTAAAAAGAGCCCTGCATTTGCCAATGTTTGACTTCTGCACTACGAAACATCGCCATTTGTAGGGCTCAATGGATTGTCATCTAAGAGCATCTACGATGCTTCTCGTCCGCGCCAGCATTCCCGACCACTGCGAACCCAATGCCTCGACCCCAATGCCTCGACCCCTAGCCCGCACGCACCCCATTCAAGCTACTCCATGCTCCAACCCTTCGATAGTCAGAGCTGTATGCTGCAAACACAATATGTAACCTAACCCACATGCGCGTGGACATGATGGCCAACCACGAGCACTCCCATTCAAGCTACTCCATGCTCCAACCCTTCGATAGTCAGAGCTGTATGCTGCAAACACAATATGTAACCTAACCCACATGCGCGTGGACATGATGGCCAACCACGAGCACTCAGCCTCTTGATGGCAGCAACTTTGTCTGCCGGCAGCGTGGGCGAGAATCGGATGGCACTGTCCGGATGGAGCTCGGCCAGGACCTGCGTAAGTCATGACCCTCATGACCTCTCCCACAGAATCCCTGACATGACAGGGATCGACGGCATCGATGGCTCGTGATGAAGGAGGGCTGAAGAATGTTTGGAAGCAATTGCATGCTGTTACTAGACACTGCTCTGATAACGGACTATGTGCGAACCAAAGCCCGCGCCATCGCCTTCGGAGGGGCTGGTAAACTTGGCGTCTTCTGCTTTTGCACCATACCTAGAGGACCTAGAGTATGCCAAACGCAAGGTACCCTCCCGAGACCTTAAGACCCGACCATCGCCGGGGCCGCTGCGCCCGATGGAACAGTGATGATGGCGAACGGCGCCGAGAAGGACTGGCCGGACTTCCTGGTTTCCGATGCATATATATAAATATATATATATATGTGTATATATATATATAACTTATATACGTATATTTAAGTTGATCTACGTTGCTTTGTCGAGGAGATGCATCTTTCGTGCATCCCCCCGTGTGGTTCGTCTTGCCATGGACCTTTGCGTGCACCGTGGCCTTCTCTCTATGGAACTTTCTTGAACCCCTCTGAACTTTGCAGAGTTCTTCTACCTTCTATGGACCCCACACCATCCTGACCGCTAGCAAAACTCAGCACGGACCATAAGGGAGTCAGAGGGGAGACCCCAAACCTAAACCCTCAACCCGTTTTTCCCTGAACCGAAACCGAATCCCCAACTGACCACGGGGGAAGAGGAGAAACCCGAAACCTTAACCCTCAACCTTAAACCCTAAACCCACCACGAACCACAAGGTGAGAGGGGAAAGCCTTTCCCAAAACCCTGAACCCTACTAAAGCCACCATCTTCAGGTTCTGAGGTCTGGAGGTTTCGGCTTCCCACCCTTGGACAGAGTCGTTTGCCGAAGCCAATGCGTAGCACACTGGTGTCTTACGTGAAAACTTTCGCCAGGCCCAAATGTCCTTTCGCGCACCTGTTCGTGGAGCGTGCACGGACTTTCTCATGTCACTGCCATGTAGACTTTACATGAATTCCTGAGAATGACCTCTACCCTAATATGTGCATGACAACATAAGCTGTGAAACCCTGGCAGAGCTATGCTTTGATTGATTTGATGATGCCCTGAACTGCTCCCTGAAGAGGTGGCAAGTTCGTTGACGAACAAGCTCTGCTTTTTGGAGGAGTGCTGCCCGCTAAGTAGCGACAAGGTACGTGGTGATTCTCACCAGGGAATCCGTGTGGCATACCTCCTCAAAGGCGTGAACAGGCGCCAGTGCAAGAAGGCATGCGGCGGTGCAAAAAATTGGAAACTCGTTTTCTGGACAACGGCATCGCTGGGTTCGATTCCGCTGCTCCGACTCTCCAGGTAAGGCACCTCCATCACCCACTACACGACCGAAGCTACGAGCAGTCCGAGGCACAACAGCAAAAGAATCACGAGACAAGTTGACCAAGACTCGAAGGTCACACGAACGAGCTGGCAGGTGGCATCGCAGCTCAAGCTGCATCCACCTCAAACCCTCAGCGAACATTTGAAAAGATCACCGCTGATGCATATGGAGCCTATTCATGACGGGCCACAGGTCAACCCACGTGAATTACCATCTGGCCCTCGGTAGAACCACAGGTTCCCAACAAAGGTCTTTGCGCGAATTCCTCCTTCCAAAGCGGTCATGCGTTTCATACGTAAATAAGATGGGAGGTTCACACTGCGCGTCAGAGTTCGCCGAGCTACTACCACTTGCTCTGTATAAGAACTTGTGATGCGACTCTTTTCGACACATGACTTTGGCCATCCACTATGCCTTGACCGGATCGTCCAAGCGAACGTCGAGGCCACTTGCCAAGCACTCAATGAAAGTGCGGAAGCCTCGACACGACACGCAGCTGACACTTCAAGAACTTACCATATTTGTCCCGGTGTTCGTGTGACATCTTGAACTGTTGCGATGTTGGTGCCAGGACTGCAGCTCACAACAGCTAGAAACTGCTTTCAGGCCATCTGAAGCCCCAACAGCGGTTCAACCACACGCCATGCACAACCTCAGATAAAAGGCCCCCCAGAGTCGCTTGTGGCACTCAAGCACAAATGCCTCGACCCAGCAGAAGACGATCCTCGCAGTCATCATCCGGCATATCTGTGACAGAGGCCTCGGACTTGTAGCGGGGGGTCGGGCTTCTCTCCTTCCTGGAACGCTGACGATTCAGGATGATTGATGTTTCGAGATTCATGGGATACAGACGATCCGATTACAACCTGGGTCCGCAAAACAGCGTCTAAGACTTAGTAGCCTTGAGGCGTTAATGCCCCTAGCTATCATGCCACGGAGGTGCTGCTGGTCCAGCTGTTCCCAAATCTTTCACTCGTTTGTGCTTGCCTCGGCTGTGCTTAGCCCATGTAGCTCTTATGGAAGGCAAACTCAAGATTTCGGATCTCATTCATAACCCTTGGTGCCGTTGCATACCGTGCTTCTCCTGGTTAAGTACTCCCGAAACAATGCGTCAAGACATCTGCATGGGCTTCAACGTGAAGAGCAAGCGGGGGTTGCTCGCAACCGAAGACCAAGCCTTTTCCTCAAATCCTGCTCGCATGATGGAGTAAAATCGCAATCTCGCCCAGGCGCGGCCATGCTCGCCATCCTCAAACTGTCGTCGCTTTGGATCTCTGTGTTCACCAAATGCGACGCTGTCGTCCTTTTGGACTTCTGGAGCGCTTGGAGTGGTCTTGTCTTTTGGATGTGCTCTTAAGGACCATTGGAGTCCTCTTTCATGTCCCCATGGTCTCTCACTGTCTGGGGTCTACACTGGCAAAATGAACATTTTCCCTCCCCGGGTACTCGTTGCATGACGGCTGCGACCTGAAATAGTCGAAGTTGCGCTTCCAGAATTTCAGCATTTCTTCTCGCAGCCCACTCTCACTGCCAGGCCAGGTGCCGTCCATAAAAACCTAAGCTGTGGAACATGGTGGAACCGTGGAACCTATAGGGCCACAGGGTCTACAACTGTCGGTCGGCAGTTGCAGGTCATGAGGATCTGGTTCCGACTCAATTCATATTCCATAAAAACTACCAAGTACAAGACCCAAGCACAAGTCGCTGAAACGTCGACTTGCAACGTTCTCCGCCCGCTCGAGGGAGCTGCTGGCAACCAGCGTCTCTGGTGGCATGCGGCTGCAAGGAGCGACGTATCCGTAGTGGCGGCCTTTTCTATTGCGTGTATTTTCATACTTGTCTTTCTGAACAGAGTTTGCTTCCGGCTCAGAACCTCAATGCAAATTCAAACTTCTGTCGCCAGACATCGATACGGTTGCAGCACTGACATTCAGCATTTGGCACGTTGCTGGCTCTAATGAGAAGACCTCGAACATTCTGGGAGAAAGCGTTCAGCGGGCGCATGGTGCAAAATCAAATGGTGTCTCGGTCCTGATTCTGAGCGTCTGATTGTCGTGTTCCCTCAATTTAATTTGAAACGGACGCACTCTTGGGGCCGAATCGAAGCCCTGTAAAGTGCTTAGCAGCCGGTAAACCAAGCAGGGAGAATCCGTTCATTCAATATAGAACGGGTTCGAACAGTGGTCTCTTGGTCCTTGATTCTGATTGTCTGAGTGTCTTGTGCACGGAATCGCCCCCACGTGTCCCTTAAAGAGGGTCTATGTCAGGTCTTGTTGCACATGCCAAGGAGGCAAATACCCCGACACCCAAGGCCCCCCACCTTGGAGTTGAAGCTAAGAGATGCAAGCGAAGGCAGCCTAAACACTCGAGTGTCCTCTGCACGACAACCCGCCGAGCGCCTCGGATCTTGTAGACGATCGATCGCTCTCTCGCGCTCAGCACGGGGGAGCTGCGGCACCCACTCCTTATAAGACTGAATCGCTCAATGCGTAGCCTTGTCTAGGGAAAGAGGCGCTGAGTTGGCCTAGATTGCTGCACTGGTCCAAACAATAAGTCATCCCTGCACATTCGAAACTGTAATTGTCAGCATCACCAAAAGTGTCCTCTGGTACCAAGTCCGAATGTCGACTGCTTCGGGGCTTTGGAAAGGCTCAACATATTGAACTCTAATGACTCAAATGTGTTTACAACTGGTCTTTTCGGTCTGTATTCTGGAGTGATGGAGAGAACACCTGTCCAAAATCGCATGACAACATATTGAAAGCCAAGGCTCTTATGTCGTCTTTCCAGCACCTCCTTGGTCGAGATTTGAGAGCGTCGTTCAAAGGTGGACCATGTTATCACCCCGGCTGTCCTCCAAAGCACGTTGGAAAAGAAGCTCCAGCGTGGGTGGGTCCTTCATCAGCCCAAGCATTCCGGATGGGTTTGAAACTCCTAGGGTCCTAGGGATTATGTGGCATGCGTGAGTCTCAGCGCAGCAAGCGATTTCGGGAATCCATGACGAAGCAGCCTCCGCTGATTGGTCGCTTGTTTTGCCTGCGAACAGCCAGGCTTTAAGGTATTCGAGGTTTAGGGATGCAAGATGCTGCAAGAGGAGGCCATGTTAAGTCTTAAAAATCAGCAGGAGCTTACGATGGCATTGGTACGCAGGCTTGGCCCGATGTACAAGGGCCTGGTGCCAGGTATGCGACGCCGTAGGTTACCTGCTGCAGCCTGAAAGGAACTCTTGGGGAGCCAGAAACAGGGGGCAAGTCCAGTTTCTGCTGTTCAGCGCACGCCGAGGTTGAGGTTTTCTAGTCTTGGGGCTGAGGGTGCAGGAGGTCGAAGCTCTTTTGCATTGCATGCACCGCAAGGCGGACCTATACGATCAATCAAAGCCCAGGGCGAATCATTGCAAGCTTGTCCGCCTTGCGATGCGCCAAGGCTATGGGAAACCACAGTCTGCCGATAATTTCAGCACAAGAAGCAAGAGGGCTGCATCCACGACTTCTTCCACAGGGATCTGCTCGCCCCCTTGTGGGGTTCTTCGGGGCCAGTGTAACTCCATGAGGGCAGTTGTTCAAAGATGTACGTCTTCATGGGGTTCCGTGTGAGATCTGCAAGACCACACGATGCAGGCGGCATATGGTGGCCCATACAGGGCTTGCTTTGGTGTGTATTCTTGGCCATGGGTTCATCGTTCCAGGCTGTGTGCTGCCGCGCTCGTCAAGGGGCTCTTGCGGGTCTTGTGGAGGCCACACAGCAGGATGGCAGCATCAAGAAAGTTGACATGAACCCTCTACATAAACTGTATTGCATTGTGTCAAACCCATCTAAACCCTGAACACAGATGAGCTGTCTACCAGAATGCATGCTCGTAGAACCCACAGAAACTTCAAGTCCACGCACGTCTTCCGAGGCCATACCTCCTGTCCGCATCAACCCCCGACAACCAAGTAAGACTAGACAAATAAACGACTGCAGACACTGGGTCACTGGGCGCTTCCCTCCTGACTTCTCAACTGTCTTGATGCCTCTCAACTCGGCAGGAAAACAAAAACAAAAGCAGCCATTCTAAGGTTTCTTCTTTCCGGACTTCGGCGTCCCCACTTCTTGGCGGAGTGGCCTCGCTCTGCATCCCGCCATTCCTTGCATTCCGGCAGGTTGCATTTGAAGCACGATGCCGTGGCATGAGGGAGTAATTGGGGTCGCGTCCTTCGTGGAAACTCTTCGATCTAATGATGATCTCCATACAAAACCTTCTCAGGGTCTAGTGGTTTGGGGCCGAACTCCCTGTGGCCAGAGGATGGGCAACACACTGCACAAGCCCCTTCTTGTTCAGGAGCTCTAGCATCCCCCGTTGCATCGGCGAGGCAAAACGACGTCGATCTCGAAGACTAAATGATGTAGCTTGAACAATCTGAAGCACAAGCAGCCTGAAGCCCGGACTTTGCTGGCTTTGGGGATGTAAGCCAGACCTCAAAGCCCCAAACCCCCGACTCCCGGAAAGTTTAACCCTAAACCCTAAAGCAGTTTTAACTCAAAAGGTTTGGAGATACATGGAACAAACAACAGGGTAAACTCCGTGCGAAACATCGGCAGCTGACCTTTTTATGTCAATTTTAAGGCTCCCGAGATCAGCTTACATGACGTCGCAAAGCTCGGGACACTAAAACAAACCACCAGGCATGGTTCCTTGCCAATTCAAGACTGGCTTAGATCAATGCAAGCATTCAACATCGCTAAGACTGTCCAGACCCTCACTTATCTATTCCTAACCAGGATCGGCGATCTCTGCAGATTCCCAGCCGCTGTACTGACCTCACATCGGCTCTGGGATTAAAAGCAGGACACTCTGAGCATCGCTGCCACCAATCTGGGGGTGGAGCAACAAAGTACACCAAAAACTAAAAAACATCATCTACATATGTATAATATATATATATATATATGTATGTATAATCTATTATTTGCTATATATATATATATACATATATCTCTGGCACGCTGTCAAAGGCTACTGGTGAGATGCGAGCTGATTCCTTAATCCTGACGGCACTGAATCCCAATTTCGACACTCACAAGACGAAAGCCGGTCGGCAGCCCAAATCTCCAGCCGCCACGGCTGTGGGAATACCCAGGCGAGCAGCAAGCAGGAAGAGCGGATGGTCCTCAAAATGAGGTACTCGGACATAGTACTTACATAAGGCACAGACAGATGTTGTTCAATTCTGTTGGTGACGTGCCGTCAGGAGTCAGGACTGACCACCCCTCTGGCCGAAAGCTAAAGAGCGAGACGGAGGCAACATGCCACGTATGGCCCACGAGGAGTCAGAGGCCATCTTGGTCTACTGTATGTGAATCACTCTCTCTCCTTCCCTTTACTTTGCTACTGTCTCACTCTTGTGTTCAGTACTGGGTCGCCCGGTTGTAGGCCCGCGTTTTCCGCGTCACTTTGATTGTCCATGCCGTCCATGCTATCGACTACTCGGTCCACTGGCGTTTGGATAACCACTGTCCCCTCTTCTTTGCCTTTGCATTACTCCCCTGCTGTCTTGCACCCCTTGTGTTTGTCTTCGTCTCACACAGTCTCCTGCTAAGGCCACTTCCTCCTCGGTGCTCATGTACGATCTCGATGGTTGCCCCTACGTGCAGCCTTAAAACGTGCTGGTAGCGGATGTAAAGCACCCTGGCATCTCTCAGGACAGCGGGATAATCCTGCTTCCTCCCTTACTCCAAGACCACCTTCTTCCCCTTGGCAAAGGATCCGGTAGACCTGTTTCAGGTGGTCCCGACTTGAGCTTAAAATGACTACTCTTGGCCTTCTTCTGCTCGCGCTCTCTCTTTCTCTTTCTCTCTCTCTCTCTCTCTCTCTCCCTCCTGCACGCATGGCCCCCCCGAAGAGGAGAGTCGCCCCCAGGGGCGCGCGATGTCCGGGTCCTGTTTGTGGTGGGTTCCCCTGGTTTTCAGGGGCGTCCCACTCAATTGCCACTTCCTGGGCAGATTTCTTTTTTCCACCACTTTGGGGGCTTAGGCAGGAGGCAAAAAGTAGCAAAAACATGCACTGCGGTGGTGTGGACTGGAATGCCGCCCCGACTTGTACCTCCCCCACCCGACATTGTTACAGAAAGGTGAAAGGTCTCCCCCCCGCAACAAACGAAACCCCCAACCTCAACGAAACACACCCGGGACCCACGAGGGAAGACAAGGTGGTTGGTTTTTCCACGAAGCCTATCAAAGAGCCCCCTGCAGAGTGGCAGTGGGGTGGTGTGCAGGAGTTGAGTTTGTCGATCTCTCTGGCTGACTTCACATCCTACAACTCCAACACGTAAACATAAAGCAGCATTAAAAAGCAGCATTAAAAACCTTGAAGGATAGGCTATTTCCCCCCCCCCCCGCCCCGCACTGGTCCTCGCTGCACCCATGGAGGTAGTTGCCTCTGAATGGCGGTGCTGTGAAGGACCAGCAGTCACGTTAAACTTGAGTGACAAAGGCACATTCACATGTTTGTTTGTTCCGCGAACTTTCTCAAAGTAATACTTGAATCTTCTCTTTGCCGAGATCATCATGTAAGAGAAGTCCTAGGCTTAATTGCTTCCCAATGCCGTAGCATACCATGCAACACTGCAAACATCGGAGTCCAAGCCTCAAACAAGTACTCTGAAACTTTCACAAAGCCGTTCCAATCAGCCCCCATAGAAGCCATGCAAAATCCAAAGCTGTCTCAGCGCCGACAAGCTCATCTAAAACCCTTGGCGGCATCATTCTATTGAGCATGTAAGACCTCAGAACCACTCAAACCTTTGACAAACCTGTGGCCGCGGTGCAGCCCTCCTCCACAGGTGCTGGGGGAAGATCTGGCCGGTCCTCACCTGATTCCAGGGCCCCAGGCTTGCAAATGCCAACTGTCCTAAGGATCTCGGAGATTCTTCAAGGAAAGCTTTGCATGAACTCCAAGCCTCCACAGCTCCTCAAAGTTATCCCAATAGCGGTGCCCTCATCATCCCTCAGCCCTACAAGCATTGACCCTCCACCATTCCCGAAACGCTAAGGGTCTTTCCGAATCTTGCCCCTCAACCTTCTCAAATCACCCTTCTTCTGCACATTTGGACAACCCTCCCTAAAGGGAGCAATCAGAGAGAGCAGACAGCTCCTCCTCCGAGCTCAGCAGTGGCCGCCCGACCTCCCAGGCGGGGCCTCGCCTCGAATTTGAACAACATCCGTGCGACGCAATCTTGGGGGGTGTGTTGGGAGGGAAAGATGGTTTAGAGGCCCTTTCGGGGTGCTGAGAAGGGGGCTTGGAATGGCTTCGGGGGTCGCAGCGGATCGGGCTTGAAGACACTGCTAACTGTCGAAAGTTTCTGAAGTCTGAGCAGCAGCGCCTCAAGCACGATGGCGCGGCCCCCAAAGGCCCGCAAAACTCTGGCAGCTGTGAGTCCCGCCTTAGCGACCAATGCCAGAGGCTGCTATAGAGGTTTCGAGAGATTTCGGTGTTCAAAGCCGGGGCTTATGCCTGATTCGGGGCTTTGCTTTCTTGCTTGAGGATTCTGCTCAGTCAGCCCTGGAGTTCAGATGATCAACTGGCTGTGAAGTATGAAACCACCGTTTGGCTCCCCGGCACAAGGATGGTTGCAAGGGTTTATATGAGATAGATCCAAACTCCGGCCCCAAAGCCACGAATCGCGCAGACGCGTTCCATCCCGTTCCCAAACCAGTGTTTTCTGAGCACGGTGCAAGGCCAGCCCCCACAACCACGACGTCCGCGTCAAAGTGCGGCCCATCCGACATGGTCCAAAGGATGCTGGAATCCCTTTGAACTGTGTTACCTGGAATCAGTTAGTTCGTTGCGTCGACCCTTCTGCTTGTAGCAAACGACTTCGCAGGACTTAGGGTTTAGGGATTGAGGGGCTTGAGCTCGCAAGAAGCGAGAAGGATGAAGGGGGCTCCGTGATTCAGTGCATGTGCAGCCGGAACAACTTCCGAAGCTAAGACATGCGACTTGTGATGCATCCTTGATCTTGTGCTTGTCCGGTATGGGGTTGGGCTTCGGGGTTAGGCCGGGATTCCTGTAACTTGAAGCACTGGAAGTGAGTGTAGGATGCCAAATATGCCAAATGCACTCGTCAGTTGCACGGGCGGCTTAAAGTCTGCAACGGCCGGCTGGTTTGAGCAAAGCTGAGGCTTTCGTGGGCCTTCTCGGCTGATACTGCAGGCTTGGGAGATGTGGGAGTCAAGAGCCCCGTTGAGTCAGTGAAAAGAGCCATGAAGCACCCGAGGCCCAAGGATATCAGAACTCAGCGGGGACCGTGTGCCTATTGTGGGGTCTAGGTTCAGTTCTAGGTCTAGATGATGCTCTGGAACGGTAGCGATGGGTAGATCGGCCAGCGGGGCTGTTCTGCTTAGATTGAACCGATCGGCAGTTTTACATGCTTTCTACATCTCGAGCAGATCACATGATCAGGTCAGGATGTGGCACACATTCAACTTTTGTTAGGCAAGGTTCTAATTATATGGCAAAGAAACCCCATGTTCAAAGTGAAAGTGCTAGACTCTTAGATTTGTGAGGATGCTGCAATGGCAGAAGAACAAAGAACCCCGGTAGCCCAACTCAGCATCGGCCTTAACCACCACTTGCTCCTGCTGGGGAGTCTTGGCCTGCAGAGGGTGCGGGGACCGGTTCTCATTGGGGTTTTTGATATGTCGTTCGGGTGCGAGAAAGCATTCTGGTGACTGCCATGCAAGTTGCTAGCCAAGTTCTTGGAATGAATCGAGGAACCATGGCAGCCTATTCACCACGTTAGCAGGTTTAATGGAAGCACCACACAAGATAACAAGAGTGACGTGATTCATTGTGGCTAGAAGTGCTCCTGGAGTGACAAGCGATGACGATGGCTCCGTGAAAAGAATCGCAGCAGTTTTGCAAAGCAAACAGAGCTTGACTTGCACCTGTCTCTCCTGCACCACTACGGCAGTCTCTACACTCTCCAGAACGCTGACATGTGGTGCCTGTATCACCGTGCGCTCGCCGCTCCTCAGGTGAGAGCCCAACCACTGCAACTACTGTGAGGTCCACGAAGTTTTGTGGTCTGTTCTGATCTCTGCCTCTGCAAGTGTTGCGGCATTGTGGCCTTGTGGCCACGTGGACCTTTGTACACTTAGAACTGCGACAGGCTTTTGGAATCTTTATATGGGCTGCCCAGCATTGTTCACCTACTCGACGGCGTGCATGCTGGCGGTGAAATCGTCGAGCGGCGAGATGAGACGATGCACGCACTGCGTTCAAGAACGCACAGCGCACCAACCACTTGACGGAGCTAACCCAGTGCCAAATGCAGAAGGCAGATTTCTTGCAAATATTGAGCTTTGATGTACTGCTCTTATATCATTAGTCTTTCTCGCCTGTCCTGCATGACACTTTTGACTTTTGACGTCTGTTCTTGTAAGTTTTGGTTTGACTTCCCCTTCTGCCGTCACACGTACAGGTGAAGTCTGTGGGCTCCCCATGCTGACAAGGGTGGCTCCTTGATGTTGTTCGGAGATTACTGCATGATGCCTGTTCGCTCCAGACACCACCCTGCGGAAACCCTGACAAGTGGTGGGAGTGGCCGCAGCCGCCAGGCACCGATGCCATTTGAAGTGCATCCGCTTAGGTTCATGTCTTCTGTACAGTCTTCTGTCTTGTTGTGGCAGTACGTTTGTGGACTAAGGAATGTCTTTTTGCAGTTACATGCCCATACTTCTTTTGGGATCTTATGGGCTTGAGTCCATGTTGGCTTCATGCTTCCCGAGGCTCTTCCCGAGGATGTTGACCAACTCGAAGCCCTTCAGGAGTTTGAGTGGCTGCGAAGGTGCCGCACCCTCTGTGACCTCTCAGGGCACGGAGGGGCGCAACCACGAGATGCGCCATGCAGCAAAGGCCTTACCTCCCAACTCATGCCCTGAAGCCTACAAAGTTCTCCATGCCTCAAGGTCCTGCAGAAGTCTTTCAAGTTACAAGCCTACAACTCCCGAAGCCCACTCCCAACCTTGCGTGGTGACTCCTTGGAGTTTGTCCGCTGCAGCTTCACAGCGGAATCAGTTTTACCGGGTCGCGCGGAGGGCGAGGGCGTCCTGGGCAAACCCTGGTCAAAACCTTACCGGGTTTAGGATTGCTAGAAATATATTGCCATGGCTGAAATTGTTAGGCTTTACGGTTGGTCGGGGGCGTCGTGAGTGAGAGGCGTGCCAATACAAAGGGCAGGCCACCAAGCTACAAATGTGACTGTGCGCCCCACTCCTTGCTCCTTCTATGCTTTTCCCACATGCTGATCCCCAATCCTGTCATGGGGCCAACCTGTTCAGTTGCCCTGCAGCAAACTTCCAACTCCGGAATGCTGAAAGTCACCAAAGAAGAATGCCTGCATGGGATGCATGCCCAGCTACTTCTCCAGTGCCTGGTCCAGGCTCAGCCTGGCCTGGAGCTCAAGCCACAGCGTTTAGGGCTGAAGGACCACCCGACATGCAGAAAAGAAGGGGTTGGCTACAGATGGATGCAAACGTGTGTGTCTGTACGTGTACGTATGTTTGTGTTTGTCGGCCTCTGTGCCTCTGCGCCTCTCTGTCTCAGCCTCTCTACCTGCCTCTCTCTGTCTCTCTAGTGTCTGTCTCTGCCTCACTGTGTCTCACTGTGTCTCTCTGCGTCTCTATATGTCTCTCCGTGTCTCTCTGTGTCTCTCTATGTCTCTCTCTGTCTCCCTCCGTCTCTGTCCCCGTCTCTCTCGGTCTCTCTCTTCTCCCTTTGCGCCTTTGTTCTTTCTCTCTTTCATTCATTCTTTCTTTCTTGGGGGGCCCCCCCGCGCAATGTGCGTCTGTCTCCCTCTCTGCCTCTCTCTGCCTCTCTCTGCCTCTCTCTGCCTCTCTCTGCCTCTCTCTGCCTCTCTCTGCCTCTCTCTGCCTCTCTCTGCCTCCCTATGCCTCTCTGTGTCTTCTTCTTCTTCTTCTTCTGCTTCTTCTTCTTCTGCTGCTGGGCATGAAGGAGCCCCATCGGACCCCTCTGTCTCTCTCTTCTTCTTCTTCTTCTTCTTCTTCTTCTTCTTCTTCTTCTTCTTCTTCTTCTTCTTCTTCTTCTTCTTCAGGGCTTGAAGGGCCCGAAAGCCCTCCGCGCGCGCGGGCGCGCCTAGTCCGGTCAAGTCGTCCCTTTGTTGGTGAAATGTGAGGTTTCCCCGACTGGGCGAAAATCCGGCTGCTCTCCCCCCTTTGTCACCTTAGTATGTCCTTAGTGTTACCACTTACCTTGGTGCAGTTCCCCCTGCCCGTGCCTCAGTGACCTACTCTGCATTTTTCGCAGCGGGCTCTGTCTCTCTCTGTCTTCCCCTGTCTCTCCCTCTCTCCATGTCTCTCTCTCTTTCTCTCTCTGTCGCTCTCTGTCTCTCTCTGTCTCTCTCTGTCTCTCGGCCTTCTTCTTCTTCTACACAGCGAAGAAGCCCCCCAGAGGGAGGACCCTGGCCACGACGGCCCGCTGTTTCCGTCCAGTTCGAGTGAGAAGGGGGCCCCCATGTTGGGTGCCCGGAGTGTTAGGGTCTTTGTCTTGTGCCCGATGGCTCTCTCGCTCTCTCGCTCTCTCGCTCTCTCGCTCTCTCGCTCTCTCCCTCTCTCCCTCTCTCTCTCTCTCTCTCTCTCTCTCTCTCTGTCTCTCTCCATCTTCTTCTGCTTCTACACGGCTTGAGGCGCCGGAAGACCCCCCCACGCGCACAGGCTCTCTCCATCTCCCTGTGTCTGTCTCTGTGTGCCTGTGCCTGTGCTTGTGCCTGTGCTTGTGCCTGTCCTGTGCCAGTACCGGTGCCCGTGTTTGCGTCTGTCTGGGTGAGCACATCCCTTCTTACTCCGGTCTGACCTGCTTCGGGTTTGCCTCATGCAGCAAGCTTAGGTGGTTGGATTTTGCTAATGCTTAGACAGTCGACTCAGCCTGAGGTTCTCGGGTTTGGTGTTCCTTGCCGTGTGTTGTTTTGTCATGCCCTATTCTTCATTCTGCTCGCATAAACCCTGGACAGGTCACACGCTCCCCCCCCGCCTTCCCAGTCGAGTCCTTGGAGTTGACCCCGGGTGTGCGAGGTGTGCCTGGGCTGAGCGGAACCTTCAATACCTTGATAGACCTTTGCGGGTACTCCCCTCCCCCTAACATTATAAACTACACTCCGAATATTAAATACTCCCATTCTTGTTAAATTATAACGTATGGGGAGTATTCGATGTTAGGGGGTGGGGGGGGGGTTCATACAAAGCGGAGGGGTTTAGTCGAGGACATCGATCTCAACATGTTCAGACGTCATTTTTTCCACCCGCCTAGCTGAGCCCAGAGGGCCAGTCAGACGTAATTAGGGTTTAGGGTTGAGGGTAACATCTTCGCAGTATGTTGCAGTTCAGATGCCTCCCATGGTTTCATCCCCCACCGAACGCGTCGGAGTCCTGGGCTTTGATGACAAGGTCGAGTCTTCGGAATTCTGGCCCCCGGCTACCTAGTGATCGTGCGCCAGTCCAATCTGCATCTGACTTTCGCTGAACTTTGCCTGCGGTCTCCAGCGAGCAACGAGGTATTCCTAAGCCATTACAGCTCATGCCCTAAACCCTAGAACCCTAAACCCTAAACTAAAAAGTATTGGTGTGGTAATTCCCGTCGCTGTGCAAGTGGCAGAGAAAGCCATCGCTGGCTCTTCGGGGCAGGCGACTTCGACTGGCGCGTGCAGCTCGGCAACAAGGGCGCTTCGGAATAGCAAGGGTTTAGGGTTTAGGATTTCGGGTTGAGGGTTTAGGGTTTGGGGTTTAGGGTCAAAAGACAAGAAAAAGTCGTGCATTGCACTGCAAGAGCCATGGCAATGTCTGTCGCTTCTGCTCGTCAGTTGAGGTTTCTCGGCGGAGCATGTTTGGAAACGCAAGGCTTGGGACTCTTATGACTCTTACATTGGTGTAGAGTTCCATTTTTCGTCTGTATAATGAATAGGCAGCATGGACCATATGTTCCCTTGAGGGCAAGTCTAGAGCGCTCTTGATCCCAAGCAGGATAAACTCGTAAAATTGATGGCAGCGTTCAACTCCAAATTCCCAAACCTGGGGAGCCTTGGAATGCACAGCCAGCTGTTGGACAATGCAGGAGACTTCCGTGTTGCTGTGGGGGTTTAACGGCAACGCATGTGCTTCTCTCAATAACTGTGACAAAGGAAAGTGAGTAGCAAGACAAAGGCTCTCAAGGCTAGAAACGTGCAGCCGGTAGGCGGGTATCAGAAGCGGTCGGCAAATCGGGAACGGTAATTGGAGTGCAGTGCGATTGTGGAGGGCCTGCAGAAGCATCTCATCTGTGGTGGACGTGGTGGACACCCGGCCTGGAAACTGCTGAGCTCTGCTTGACGAGACGATTTGACAAGAGAGGTTGAAAGTTTGGAGTGGGCTGCAGCTCTCCAAGAAATGTACGGCTGGTCAGATAGGGATTGCATCCGCTTCTGGCCTGCACAAACTATTCTGCCACCTAGTGCTTCTCATGCTGACTTTAAAATGAATTTAAACACTTCTGAAGCATGCCCATGTGGAATGTGCATAGACATAGCGGGAAATTTGAGAATGCTGCGCTCCCCTTTCCCGGCAGAAGCTGGTCCCACGACGACAACACTTCCCTCGACCAGAGCCCCTTGGCAATGCTGAGGATGGCACCCAGCCGAGCTCGCTTTTGCCTGCCATAGGCAACCCAACGACTGCTCTAGAGTACAACAGTGGCACAGTCCATTTTCGAGAGAAGCTCCTGAACCGGTCGCTGGTTTTGGCACACAACAAGGTCACCCTGCAACACTCTCTTGCACAGCCCTCCAAATATCTCCAATACTCATTGTACTCATTGCCTGGGACTCTGGTACTTCAGCAAAGCGGGCGTTGGATGCACCTGAGCCAGCATACACGTGAGACGTTCGATGACTTCCCATCCCACAACGCGCATGACCTGCGCGCAACGAGGATGCTCTGAGTACCCGACCCTAGGAGCCCCCGCACTCTCAGAATGCCACACGGCCCCAAAGGACGAGAAATGACGACAATATTTTGAAAATTCTGCAGATCGCATGAGAGCCAGATGCCCTTGTCGGGTTTTCATTCTCTTTTCGAATGGCGGCGTTGATGTCCAAAAGCCGCTGTTAGCGCATTACGAACAGACTCCGGTATCCTGTCACTATATGTTTTGAATATCGTAATCTGCTCTTATTTGCTATCCGATGGGTTGGGCCAGTCCTGCTTTTTCGTTAGAAAAGGTGGGCACACTGGTAGCTTTTGCCAGGAATGGGCCCGAGAGTGCATTGATTTCTTGCTTTGGGCCGAAGGCATTTGTGGTGAAAGAGGTAACGGAACAGCAAGGGCCCAGGCCAAAAATCGGCCGTCCTTCTGCCAAACACAGCCGCCTAAGATGCAACAAGCTCACAAGGTCCCGACAAAGTCCACGGTTGAAGGTGTGGACGGTGACCGATTTGCAAGATCCAGGAGTGGCCGCAGGGCCTTGGCATTAGGCCCTTGTATGCGTATCTTTATGGGGCTTAGGGCCACAAAATCCTAAGGTGCAGTGTGAGGTTCTGTGAGACCCTTGGGTTTTGGGCGGCAGTTGGGCTTTGCTGCGCGAAAGGCATGTCAATGTTTAGCTTTCGGGAGCTCGAGGCTTGGTCCAGGCTTGGGGAGGATGAGGTCCGATTAGGTTCTTTTTAGGGTGACTGGTGAAGACTTTGGAAGTAAAATCTCGCGGCACCGGAAGCTGGCAAGTCCCGGAAGGAGTTGCGCACATGCTGAGGTCATATTGCACCCCTGTAATGACAGGGCGATTCGAGGTATGATGGGACCCGAGACCCCCCGGCATACCACTCAAACTGGCAAACGGCGCAAGTTCGCCATGGTTCTCCAGAACCCTTTTTGAAGCTGGACTTGCTGACTGCCAGACACCCGCCTAATCCTCGGAGAACCCTGAATCCTGACGTACATGGTCCGTTAGCGGCCGAGAGCTGTGGGCCCTTGTAACAGTTGTCCCCAATCCCAAGGCCCAAGGCCTCTTCAAGGCGATCATCGGCTCCGGAATCCTTTTAAATTTGGAGGCTCGGGGTTTGTTGGGTTTAGGGTTTTAGGGTTTTAGGGTTTAGAGTTGTCGGGCTTAGGGTTTAGGGACTCTTGAGTTCAAGGTGGGACATGCAGCACAGACACATAGAATGCAGATGTACTTCGTTCCTTCGAGACCGGCTATCTTGGATGGGCATCTTGCAAGGGAATCTGTTTCATGAACGCCCACACGGTGCGATGACGATCAGTCCTCCTCCGTTGCATCCATGGAAGGGTGAACTCTTCCACCGCGACGACACGGATCCCAAATGCAGGAAAAGAGCAACAAAAGCTAGAAAGCCAAAAATGAAGAAAACACGTTGTGATCACTGGTATCAAGAGCAGTAGTGCATACAGGCTGACGGCCCGGATGGAAATGCTGCCAGCCATTCTTGTTGCATAGTGTAACTATGTGAGATCGGCACTGTCATTGTTGACCTGTTCGAGACATTGTGCGTAGATAACCGGACTAGACTGTGATACAACACATCATCGCCCTTGACTCGGACCTTCTATGTACTCGAACACTTCTTCGGCAGCACGTTCACATGGCATCCCCTTCAATCCCCTTCAACAGCATCGCAGCTTTCTCTGGCGTGATGGCTTCAGCACGCATCATGGCTCAAAGTGAGATGCTTTTCTCCCATAAAGGCCATGCAGTAGTCGAGTCCATAGAAACCGCGCCTGTGCTTCAAACATCTGCCTTTACAGATGGCTTCTGGGATGAAACTTGTGACATCCCAAGGTTGGTTGCCGACTGTACCCACCTCGGCACAGTTGTGCTATGCAGTAAGAAAGTTAGCAAAGATGATACCTACCTTGCACAATCTTACGCAGCATGAGCAGAGCGCAATCATGCGCAGCCCTTTGGAACGGAACGGCTGCGTGGCCTAACTTGTCAAAGCCATGTGCTTTGCTACAAGGCTCTGCGAGCGACACTCGGTCTGCTGTGCGCGGATCTGAAAAGCAGCTTTCGTTATTTGCCTCTGGTCTAGGCCCAGGCGAGTTTAAAATCCCTGCGCCTTCACCTCAGCGGCAGCGCAGCACCGGCGTGAGGGTTGGCTTCGGGAGCCGTTCCTCGGGACAATTGGGACACCTCTGCAAGACCAAAGCGCCACAGCGGCATCCCAAAACGCGATGAATGTCCACTCTAAAGAAGCCGCAGTTCAGTAAAATCCCCAACCTCAACACCCCGAATCCAAACAGTTGGTTCACCGGCGTTAAGAATCAGAGGCCCTTCGGATCCACTACTTAAGAGCACGCTTGCTGCCACGCTTGCCGAGTCACAGAACTGCTACCTGTAGGGGACTGCTCGGAGAGCCCCTGATCCTGTCAAAGGCTCTCTTCCGCAATCAAGGATTTAGGGTGTCTGAGGTGTGCCCAAAGATCCTTTGGGCAAAGAGCCCGCAGGGGGTCACTTTACAGGGGTGGGCATGCTGCTGGAAAGGGGAGCTGGTTTTCAGAACTTTTGGGTTTCCGCCTGCACTCCTGAACCCCCACAACTCCTGCGCACATAAAAGCACCACCGAAGGGGCCTCATTGCACCAGACTTCTCAGCCACAAGCAAAGCCACGCCCTCTTCCCCAATTTTCTCTGGATTTTGGGAGAAGTTGGGAGGGCTTGTGCTACTCAAATGCTTTGTTATTAACTCGCAGAGTTTGGGGTACGTGGCTTCTGGGAGGTGTGGGGTCTGGTGGGGCTGGGAGGCTTGCCTGAATAACTAATTCCAAAGCCCTGCCGCAAAGTTTATGGAGCCTGTGTCAGTTTTTGGTCGACCCGGAGCACACCCGTGGAGTTGCCTGTCAGGAACATAGATTCCACATGGTTCTCGGAGTGCTTTCAGAGGGCTGTAAAGCACCGAATTTCTGAGCTTGGTCTTTACAGGCTTTCGCAGATGGAGGTGAAGGCTTTCGATGGAAGCTGCATTCTTGATGGGGATTTGGGCAGGACATGGCAACAACAAGGAGCCCACGCTCTTTGCTGTCATGGGTTCTCATGGTGATTTATTTGTGTGAAGTCATGGGACCCTTACCGCGACGTGCTGGGATACAGTGTCTTGGGCTTTAAGGATTGAGAGTCCTGGCCAGGGCACTCGAGGGGCGACAGCACCTTGTAATAGGTCTACCTGTATTTTTGCCTCATTTAACTTGAGCTATGGCGGTACCTGCATAGCCCCTGCTCAACGACCCGAGTGCCAGGATTACACCAGTCGGCCTGCAGCAAATGAACATGAACCCACTACATCGCCTGCGTCGCACCAACGCCGAGCTTCGCTGAGCACTTGACCCGGTGATCGCCCTTGTTTTTCAAAAGCGTCCTACGAGAGAGGTCTGCGTCTGACCCTAAATTGTGAGGTGTTCATCCAGCCGTAACAGCACAACCAAAGAAATGATAATCAGGGAAACATGACCTTGCCACAGTGCAATGTTGTTGCAATCGATATGTGTGCAGCTTTTGGAGACCTTTGTAATTGAGAGACATAGCATCACTAGGTGTGCTGTGTTCTGCCTACGCTTGAGAAGATATATGCGACTTCTAGCAGATTCTAGCGTGCTTTAAGCTGCTTTTGAAGTAAACACACTTAGCCAGGATGCTTGATGAGCCCTGCAGAACCGCTGCCATGGGCGGCCGGGGCTTTCGAGGCCGAATGTCGCTGGAAACACTGCGGCCTGTGAGCTGGAGATTCAAGAAGGTCAATCTTGATCAGGCTGTGGGCTTTCACTTTCGGGGGAAGCCCGGCGCGCTCTGCGTGAGGGACCTGGAGTATATATCCCCCCCCCCCCCAATCTACATTGGGGAATGCACATGTTCTTGCGTTGGCAACAACCCAGCGGTGCTTGCGCATGGGCTGGGTTTCGGATCTACAGATGCTGTAGCATGCCAGGTGAAATTGACAAACGTCACAACAGACTCTGAAGCTGTGTAGCAAAACGTGCAAGTCACGCTCAGTGTTTAAGGGATAAGCTGAGCTGCAAAGAATCGCTGCTGGTTTGGCTTCGGGATTCACAGGCTGGCATCCCGAAGCGCAGCATTTTACTAGTGGCATGGACTACAGCCGGACTGTCCAATTCCAGCCAGCGCGCCTTCTGAGTCCTCCACGTCACACTTCTGCGAGTTCTCCAACCGGAGGTCTTTCATGGTTGATGCCTTGCAATCTGAGTTCTTCAGGGACGAGAAACATGAAAACAGCCTGAGAGCAGCACTTGGCTGGAAGGCCGCGTCATCGCCACTTATCTACGCAAATTCCCGGCCTTGAACTTCTGAAACACTTCGATGGGAAAACCGTCAAATCTGACTTTGAATCGCGGTGCCAAGCTTTGCCCAACTCTCCTCCTCATGCGCTCCCGAGCATCTGATCCTGGGCTTGCTTACAGTTTTAAGCCTTATACAATCGAGGACTTCTCACTAAGCCAGGAAGGTGCCGGTATGGGTACAGGTTCATCTGACCGCCACTGGCAGAATTGCCTTCTTCCGGTGAGCTTTCTCAACAGCTTGAGGCTTACAAAACAAAACATTCAAATCAACAGCTTGTACCTCGGCTTGATGCACCAAAAAGGAGCGTCGGATAATCGAGCGGGTGCTGCATGAGATGCTGGCACCTGGCGCAGGGCGGCGGTCACCTAGGAGCTTTGAGTTCGTCCGAGGTTCTAGGTGCTGTAGCTCCCAAGCCCTCAACTTCTACGCCCACATTCGGACGGAGGGTGAGAGGGTGGTGCTTGCGTCTGCCCAGTAGCAAGACCGAAATCCCCAAGTCCCCTTTTTTCAGTCCTCCTTGAAACCTTTGCGGGTATGGGGAACCGCACCTCGGCTGGAGGTGGAGGACTCCGAGGGCCGCCTTGCAGGAGCAGAGGCCTCGCAGGAGGATGGCTTTGGTTCAGGCTAGGGTTAGGTTTTAGGGTTTCGGGTTTTAGGGTTTAGGGTCTAGGGTTTAGGGTCTAGGGTTTAGGGTTTTAGGGTTCGCCACCCGCACTGCACGCACAATCAAGCGCCCGCATCCGCAGGGTCGAGTCGAGGTCACCGTAGTAAAAAGTGCACACTGTGGCGCATGGTGGGCCGATTGGCCCTTCCGTAGAAGGTGTGTGTCGTTAGCCAAACCAGCGTCCCGATGTACTAGCACTAGACCCCCAGTAATGGGGTTTAGGGTTTAGGGTTCTGCCCCCGAAAGGCTCGGGACGCCTGCTAAGGAAGATCTGGCTGCGCGAGCGGACGAGTCTAGACCTGAAAAGCTACGCTCTGCAGGATTGAGCATAAAGGCTCGAAGATAAATCTGTTTTGAAATGAGCCCACTGTAGCCCCCAACAGCCAACAGGAATCCAGGGCTTCTAGTTTTAACAGAAGTCATGAGTGCAGCGTGTTTGGTTTTGCGTGGTTGAATCAGTGGTGCTGCCATTTCAATTTCTCACCCCAAAATACCTAACGTGCTTCAAAAACTGATCCAAGAGTTTATTTTGTGGTGCGACCCTCGGAAGGGGTGCGGGGGGGGGGGGGTCGGGTCGGGGGTGGGGGTGGGGGGGGGGTGGGGGGACTTGAAAGTTCTGCATGCACGTCCTCGGTTCCAGTTTTCCTTATAAGGCAAGCTTGCAGCTTGGCACGCTGAATCACAAAAGGCATTTGCAAACACAATGGGCGCATGACAGGTTTTGCAGCTGGTCCCAAAACAAACCTTAGCCATAAAGCCTGAACCCGAAAATGCCTTAAACCCTGACAACAATAAAACTAACCCTAAAAGCTTAACCCCAAACCCTAACAGATCCCTAAGAAGGAAAGAAAGCAATCAACCCAAATCTCCAAAAACCCAGAACCTCAAATACACCCTCAGACCATCCTAAACACTAAAACGCCTTAAGCACCCTAAATCCTAAACGCTAAACCTTCTAAGGCCCTAAAACCTAAGGGGCCGTTGGGGACTCTTGTTTGTTTCTGAATTCGCGGACTGTTTGGAATGTGAGTTGTTTGGCTTTCCCAACTTGGGAAATGTTAGTTGTTTCAGTTCTTGGAGTTGTTGGATTTGTTTGGATTGTTGGCCTTGCTTGAGTTATCGGACTTTTGATGTGTTCGTTTTCGGTTGAGTTTCGACTGTTTTGAGCTTTGCCTTCGCTTTGACAATGTTTACTGCAACTTCGGGGGCTTTGGCACACCCTTCCCCAAGCAGTCCACAACTTCGGGGACTTTAATTTAGGGATTAGGAATTTTGGGGGCATCGGTGTTTGGATTTGGGGGGTTTTGATTTGTTACTTGCGAAGCGGATCAGCAAACTAGGCTGAGAAATGCATGCCGCATACCGGCCAAGAACTTTGACACCAGTCCAATACATTCGGCGCCAACTGCACTGACGAACCCTAAACCTCAAATTGCTACAATTTGGGCACGGACTTCTGGGACGAGGGCTGCGAGGGGAAGGAAACCGGAGCCAGGAACACGATGCGACAGGGGGAGGGGCGAGCTGGGAATACTGATGGATTTGGGGGGAGGAGGACGAAAAAGCAAAAAGAAAGCGACGTTGTCTTAGCAACTATTTCATTCAGAAGAAACCATTAAACGGTCTTCCTATGAACCCGAAAAACTCCTTACACCACCAAAACAGAGACGACTCAAAGGAGAACCTCGCAGGTCACCCCGGCGCCTGCCGATGCGGCCGGGTACGCTGCACTGGGCTTGCCTGCAGGGCAAGGGAAACTAATTATAAGGGCGCAGTAGGGATACGCTGGGTTTGGGGTGCTGGGCAACGGACATGCCAGGTGAGGTATGTATAGGTCACTGCTGGGCAAGGTTGGGTTGGTTTTGCGTGTTTCAAATTCCCGGGATTGGCTGGAAGCGCTGGCTGTTGACATGACACGAAGTTACGAAGTTGTTGGGTGATTGCTGCGCAACAGGTTCAGTCCACACTTGGCATGCACAGGACAGAAAATCAGGCACCACAAAACCCTCAATCCAGTCCAATGATGTCCCTCTCGTGATAACTCCGCATGCACTCCACGGCCTGCTGCGAGTTTCTTCCTGCAGATCCATGAAAGGTTCGGGCTGTTTTTGCCACTCAAAAGAGCAGAGCTTGTAGGGTCAAGGCGGGACCCATAGGTTGCTCTTTTTTCTCTTTGATCGAAAGGTCTGATGTTAAGTGTGTTTCCTTAAACAACAAACAACAAACATTGTCCTTTTGCCAGGAAAATGTCAAGACAAACTTTCTCTCATGAAAGCAAACAAAGAAACCACGACAATACAATGCACACTGACACTTGTGTTAAACCGAAGACAACCTCATCTTCGACGCTGACCGTCGCATCGACTCATGGAATAGCATGCAGAGCAAAAAACTAAAACGAATGACCTCAGTGACCCCCGGGATAACGCGACCCTCTTTCCAAAACTGTCAGACAATTAGGAGTGGACCCTGCAACCTTTCCGCGACAGCCTGGTCCCAGGCCTGGTGCCATTTTCAGGTTGCAGGGTTCAGGGTACCGAACAATCACGTACGATGGGTACGCTGTTGTGTGACTTATGTTGTTTGAGACTGAGATCTGGGTGGCCTGGAGGGTGGGGGGGTGAGCGGGGGGGCGACTAGGCAACACTGAAACAGGTCTCTAAGGCCTTTGAAGTTCCTGCCGGGCACGATCAGGAAAACATTTGAGGAACACCGAGATATCCAGCACAACGTGCAATGAAGCTGAACATCTGAAAAACAAAACACCTGACGTTTGCCCATATCCCTGCCTTTCATCAATGAGCTCACGCTGGGCTCGCGTGACGAAGCACTAAACGTGCGATTGCCTGCAGCGTATGAGGTTACGGCTTCAAAGAGCTCACGAGACTTTAGAAGGCTTGCAAAACTAATGTCAACTCCCACACGCAGCTCTGAACATGGCGTCACTATGCGTCACCCATTGACCCACTGACATGGCAGTATCACGCACCATCGCAATCCACCATGGAAAGTTCCCGATCCCACACATTCACCCAGACCATCTGCAGAGAAGAGTCGGGTGTCAGGCGAGGCAGGCACCTGCAGATTATGGTCGCATGTTGTCACACCCCTTCTTGGATGATACTGCGTCTGCACACCACGCGAGCCCAAACGGAATCCTAAGCACTCAACGAAACAATCTCAAACATCCGGACCACACCAAGTGTTTCCACGAAGTTGCTAAAACTCTGTCGTGCTCATGTATGTTGTCGTGTGGCGTGTGCTCTTCACCACATCTTAATCAAAATTTAGCACTTCTTGACGCATGAGCCGGCATACGTCCACATGTGCTAGGCCTGTCGATGTCTGCGGACGTGACGACCAAGCGAGGTCCCAAAAAAGCAGCTACACCGAAAACGTGCTCGAGAGCCATCACTTTTGGTTTACAACAGGAACAAAGGCGGGTTGAGCAAACTGCCACAGTCACATCACTCGGTGATGCGAACGTCGGCCTGAGGGTAGGGCGGGCGGGGGAAGAAGTTCGGATGCTGTGACGAGAGGTGTCGAAAGCGAACAAATGAAAGCTGCGCCTGCGGTCGCATTATTACCTGCACTTCCCCGGAACGTCTGGCTTTAGCAGTTGGTGTTTCTGAGACCATGTCTTGAAGTTTGTTGAAAGCTTTCGTATGGGACGTTTGCCAGGTGCTCCGTAGTTCGGACGTTTGCAACAAGCATCCGAGTCTGTAAAGGCAACAGCGCGCCAGACATGAGAAATCTGAGAAGTCCTGGAGCCAACTGTCGCTGTTTCAACCTGCAGACTCTTCAATCTAAAGGCGACGGCCTTCTCTGCTGAGTTCAGGCTTTCCTCCAAGTTGCCTCTGCTGGCGCTTCAGACACAGACCCGCAAAGTGCAGCCACGTGTTACGCATGGTCAACTTTAGGGAACTGTCGCGCCCTTGAAGCAAGTAAGCCACATGCCAAAGGGGTAGTAGGCCTTGTGGGTCTTTTGGGCGAATACATGGATTTACGTGTAACTGCACCCGGTATACCTAACAACTTAATAAAGTCGCCTTAGTAATCACTAACTGGCCACATAGACCTCACATGGTAAAGCAAAACAAACTGCCGCCGGTTCCTTCCCCTGAGCTCGCCGCTAGCCTAAGCCACACCACAAACAAGGCAAAATGCAGCGAAAGGTTCAAACACCACCAAACCCTTCTGAATTTAAACAACGATAGTTGCTTTCCTAAGCTCTCAAGTGCCTCTTTCAAAAGCGACTGCCCAAACACTAAGACTAAGGCAATATAAACTCTCCGGCCATGAACTGAAATCTGCAGCCGGACTGGTTTGGTCTTTGCCTAAAGGATTTCGTTCTGCACCAGAATATCAGCTGGCTCTTTTTGACTTTACTCGTCTAGTACTGCGGGTATGTGCTTCGTGTTGGGTGCTACAGCTGCATCCGAGAGTTTCGACTCCAAAACATGTTGACCTTGGAATTCCAGGCGGCCCTGTAGTTGCTTCACCGCCCGCTGTACTGCTTGCAGCGGCGACTCCTGCAAGGCTGGGCAAGACTCGAACCAGGACTGAGGTGCGGCTTTGATGGACGAAGCGCATGTAGAGATGGTACAACGTAGCCAGAGCAAGGGCAGCAAGGTGGAGGAGAACAAGAAAACACCCCCCCCAACCCGCAAACTGCTAACTCCGATAACAAGGTGGTCGTGCGATCTGGGATTGAGAGCGGCTTTGACAAAGTAAGTAAGCCTTCCTTTTCTTAAAGAGAGGTTGAAACAACAGGATGCAGTAAGCCTCCGCAGTTCGATATATACTGTCATGGTATTTATATATATATATATATCATATAATTACATATTTACATGTACATATTTCCCAGGCCTTCGCTGCAGAGCTTGCGGACTTCGGATTGCCAAGCTTGCCTTCAGCTTTTCCCAGCAGTTCCCCAGCCGAAGGTTGTACATCGATTGAGGGTGTGCAGACAGAATGCGTGGTTGGACATCTGAAGACCTTGCGGAGAAGACGGTGAAATGTATCGAAAAAGCTTCCAGTTTTGCAACCAAGATTTCCTCTAAAGTACTGAAGAGCAATAGTTTTTGCGACGAAGCTCTGCAACATTCTGCAACCCTAACACCTATACCCAACAGCCCTGAAGATCGAGACTCGTTCTAAAGACCCTGTGAGTGTTCACAAGAGCCTGGTGAACCCTTCACAGACCAGAGGTTAAGATAGGTCAAGGCCTGAGCAGGCACCAGTCCAGGCTGCCGGCAGTTTCGTGCCCATGTCCTCCGCTAAAGGTTCCGAGTATTTAACGTTCAGGTTCCGACGTCCAGTTACACACTTCATCCCAGACATTTTTGCAGCACTTAAACTTACAGTCGCTAATCACCCCCGCGCACGACCAAGGTCGGTCATGAGAATGTTCACTTGCCCTGTTTTGCGTCAAGAAGCAAGACTAGACACACACTAAGGGGGCTGACCAGGGGAAAGACTCATAAAGACTGCAACCGTGCGGCGGCCAAGGTCGCCTGCATGCGGTGGAGCTCCACACTGGCCTGCGGTTCCAAGGTTTTTCTGAAGGCTCTTGTGAGCTAACACCCCTATAGTTCTGTGACGTGCGCCTTTGGATTCTTCAGCAAAGGTCTACGGGATTAAAGACATTGCGCTTGAGGGGTATAGGAGCTTACGAACATGCCAGAAACAGCAACATCTTGCTAGACTTCGTTCCTACAAAGGTGTTCACGCTGGTGTTTCATGATGTGAGATTGACAGCAACGTGAGACTACGACCTATCCTCTGGAAGCGGGGTTTGCCATCCGCTTGGCTTGTCCTTCTTGCGCTTCAGGTTGTGGACTTTCTGAAAACTGATATCATCAATTCTTGATGTGTTGGTAAAACTCGTGCATTGAGCTCAACTAGATCTATGAATAATATCAATCTTGCCTCAGTTACTTGATACAACCGTGCATCCCCAGCCAATGAAAGCGGCCTGAACGAGCTGCTCGCGCAGGGAGTCCAAGCGACCATGCCTAGGCATTCTTCAGAAAACTTCCCCTCATGTCGCATTGGCCAATGGGACCATTTCAAGATACAGTTGATTTCATCTTTTTATTGTAACCCGTTTACGAATCAGTACTGTAACCAGTATACGATGCTGCTTGGGTGACATGGTGAACTGAGGCTCCCGCCTTTCGGGCTTCTCAGAAGCCGGGGTGGCCATGAGGGAACCTTGTCCAGCTGGCCCACCTTCTTCGGGGGCAGAGCATTGCGTTTCCATTGTCCTGTTCTCCGCCGTGAACGATGATTGAGAAACACATCAGCTCAAAACTGTGGCCCTAATCGCAATTCTGAGGGGCCCGTGGGGCTCTGCGAAGCCGTGGTGGAGACACTGGAAGGCACCTTGGCGCGTGTTGTTTTAGGGGTCATGGCAGGTTCAGGGAGTCGCCTTGTAAGTTCACGTTGTAGGCCTTCGATTTCTCACGGCTAGACGTTGAGGTGCAAGCATTCCGCAATACGCAGAACTTGATTCTCTCTTGTATGCAGAAAATTGCTGCTTGGGCCCGCCAAAGCTTCTCTGATCTATGAGGTTTGGGCAAAAGGGCAAAGCACGTGGGAAAAACGTCGGCTGCACAAATTGTTTCCACATACGCCCCGGAAATGCTGCACGGATGCGGGCACGCTGCCTGAGTCAGACAAGATGCTTGAAGCGGCAAAGCGCAAGCTGCCTGACAGGTTTGAACATTCAGCCCACTCAGCAGCAGCAGCAGCAGCAGCAGCAGCAGCAGCAGCAGCAGCAGCAGCAGTGGCGACGGCGGCGGCAGCGGCGGCGGCGGCAGCAGCAGCAGCAGCAGCAGCAGCAGCAGCACAAAAAAATTTATCACGGTCCATGTGGTGCAGTAATGTTGCGAGACGACGAAGAAAGGACTTGCATGTCAACCGTAGAAAGTCTTCGATCACATTCGCCGGCAATGATCGGCATACCTAGCTGCGCCACTTTTGGCCACAACTTGGTTGAGCTTCCTGGTGGGTTGGTGGCCGACACCACTTTTGGCTCAACCCGGTTGCAGTTCCTAGTGCAAGTTGGTACCCCACGCCGCTCTGGCTGCAACTTGGTTGAGCTTCCCCGTGTGGGTTGTAGCCCGGACCACTTTTGGTTACAACTTGGTTGAACTTTCCGGTGCGCAGCGCACTTTTGGCAATAACTTCGGTGCGTGCTGGTGACCGCGCCAATTGGGGCTACAACTTGGTTGAACTTGCTGTGCGGGGGCTGGTAGCGTGTGCCACTTCGTGGCTACAACTTCGTTGACGGGCTGGTAGCCCGCGCCACTTTTTTCTAGGTGCGGGTTGGTAGCTTGCGCCTCTTTTGGCTACACCTTGGTTGAACTTTCCGGCGCGGGTTGGTAGCCATCGCCCACTTTCGCCACAATTCGACAAGAATATAGCCGCCCTCTACCGAATTCGGGGGGAGCAGGAAGGGGGGTCGGAAGCCTGACACCTAGGAATCCTAAACCTTGAAACCAGAAGACTGAACCACTAACCCTCACTCTGAAAGTCCCCGCCCACACCGCAGGACCATAAGGGACCTGTGCTTGAGTTCATTCGGGTTGTTTGCTTGAGCAACCCAAAGCCAATCCCTTCAAAACAGCCGCAAGCACAAAACTAAATGCCCTTGCCTTGATCGCTTGTCGTGTGGTCCAGACCTTCTGCGGCGTTTGTGGCTGGCCAGATGAGGCGCCTCAGCTCCAAACGGGGTTCCCCAATATGAACTTGCTCAAGGTGCCTCGGATCTTCAATTCCGGCATCTGACATCTGCGTGCGGCTTCTTTCCGAAAGCACTCTCTTGGACAGCTGACGAAGCCGTTTCGATGCAGCGCTTCAGTTTGATTGCTTGCATTAGGAGACAAAGGTAAAGAGATCGATCTGACTTCTTTCTGCTCTCGTACTGTTCTGATGAGAGTTTCACCTTGCTTCGATGCCGGTGTCGTTCGTTCACCGCCTTTGGATGGAAGGAATAGAAATAGGAAGCAAACTGCAGAATGCTTTTGCTGTTCAAGAGACTACTGAGTGACTACCTGCCCGAGACGACGGCAATCACTCGAGACATATTTGCGCATCCTGATGCCCAGGCACCCGAGTCCTACATGTTTCAGAACCCTGAACAGCAGAAAAGGCATGAACCTTCCCACACCCAGGAATTTGGAGTCCAAGCCACATAGCTTTGCCGTGGGTACCGGTGCCCAGGAACGCACTGCATCAGCGAGTGCCTCAGCTTCTACATTTGTTGTGCTGCGCCGCGTGTTATGTGTGTTTTGTGCCCATCTGAATCACTGGGGAGTGTATGGGAGTGTAGAGGTTTGAGAACTTCAAAGGCTTTTCATCGCTCTCCGCTTTTCTTGTTGTGTCCTGTGTTGGCGGCAAGTGGTTGTTTTTGTTGTTCAGGGTATCCATGGCCGTGCGAGCTACAGGCGGCGAAGATCGGCGAAGGAGATTCGAAGCTAACCCGCGCAAGATTGAAACAATATTCAAACACATCAGGGAAGTGAGAGATCTGAATTTTTGAGCCCTGGCGAGCTGCAGGTGGCGCAGCCCGGAAGAGGCGATCCACGCTCTTGGAGTTCAGGAGCGGCTGCAGCGGGTGGAGCTGCGGCCTCCAGTGTGGCATGGTTGGCTTCAGAACTTCGCAGGGTAATTCAAAGACGGCTCGCATACAAAGCACATGAATGCAAGCTGCCAAAAAAAACACACCTACACCATACTCTGCCAGTCGAACGTCAAGCCCCTCGCCTTAACTATGCATACATCCAGTCCCCGGATTTCTTGTCTCCAGCCTAGGAATGCTTCATGGCAGTAAGAGGTCAGACAAGGGCCGTGGCTGGAAAGCGGCTGGCGCGTGGGGATGCACCATAGGCACCTCAGGAATGCCAAGACGTACCACAAGGAGCAAGAACACATAAAACCTCAAGCAACTAGCAGCCATGGCCGCAAGTCGTCAAAGAAAGGTTCGCCCGCGACATCGTTCTGTTGTTGAAAGCTTCCGAAGCTGTTCAGGGACAACTAACCTCTTGCTCCTTTTGCAGGGCTGATCCCTGCTCTACGACTTTACGACTCTGCTGCTGCAGCTCTCCACTGCTGCTTGTGCAAACCTTTGTTTGCTGAGCCATTTTGGTCAACCTTGATCTTCGGCACCTGAAAAAGCCCAGATTGCGGCTCGAAAGCCATGAAGGTACTTGCGGCAACATGTGCAGCTGAGTGGCTGGGATTCGTGACAGGGTATTGTTCTCTTTTGGGTGGAGTGGGAGGGGAAGGGGGGGGGGGTGAAGGAGGTAGGCAGGGGAGGGGGGAGGGCGGGAGTTTACTAGCCCGTTTAGATTTCGGAATTGCAAAGGACAGCGAAGCAGTAACAGCTCCACTGACCTGGATGTAGGGCTGTCTGACTTTTCGCTCCATGCACACTTCTTGTTGAGTCAGCCTACAGCAGGTTGCTCAAATCTACCGTCTTGCAAGGGCAGAAACAAGCAAGACTAGATAGTTGGGCCAAGGTACGGTGGGAGCTATTTGGCTGTGGCCCTCCTTGGCCATGTGCACAGTGCAGGCCAGTGGAAGGCTTTGGGAGCCAGGTTGCACCTCACAGCCGCTGCATCCGAGAGGTTCACCAGTTGAGCGGGGACCGAAGCTGTTGCAATGTCGGACACAGAACTGAGCAGTGCACTACCACTTGTGCCATAGCCACGGGTGGGCCATGCACCAGCGTGCTTCCTCAGGCAGCGATGCCCATCACATTCCGGGGAACGTCAAGAACTCAAACGAAGCTTTATTTTGCACCAAAGAATCAAGAACCCGGCCAAGCATCTAATCTACAGTTTACAGAGGCCAATGTATGGTCAGATCGGTACCATTAACAGCCGTCAGATGCTAAACAATCAAAGGGGCCATAGCTCTGCTGAAGCGGCATTCGCACTGCCATTGTGCGGACAACAGGCAGGTGCCTACTGTGGCCAAAGATGCTGATGTTTGTATTGGGCCAATATGGGCCAATTGTAAAACTGTGTTGACACATCACAAACAACGACAAAACGCATCTTTGCTTGATGCAACATGTGCCAGCCGATCGCTGTGAGCCCAACAGCTTGAAGAAGAAGGTTCAAGGTCAAGCCGAGTCAAGCCGTCCCATCCTCCTGCTGAGCTTCTGCTTCGAAAGGAACCTCTAGGACCCTAAGCCCTAAGCGCTATAAGCCCTAAGCCTGGCACCTACACCTCCGACACCCTAGGGGCCTCAGGCAAAACCAGCCTTTCACACCCAGCAAGAGCTTCACGACAGCAGGAGGCACATAGATGCATAAGAGCTTGAGTTGTGATCTGCCCTGGCTTCTGAAAAGAATACCCCAGCTTGACCTGAAGGCCTAGCGTTCAATCCCGTGGAACAATCACTTGATTCTCTCGAACGCCACTAAACAGAGAACCCTGGGCCCTAAATAGTTCCCGAGTGTTCTCCAGACTTTCAGGGCCATCTGAGAACGCCACCGTCCGGCGGCGGCCCCCAGGTTCGGACCGGGCGCATCTGGCATCTGGCTTTTGTTATTTAAGGTGTCACGGACTTCAGGTGGTATGAGTTATAAGTTAAAGTGCTGCTTGCACTGAAGGTCTTAAGCTCAATCTTTGGTGCCGGACTTGAATCCTGACAGATTTGGCACCATTTGGGACTCAAGGCACAGGGTTACGCGACATGTCGGCTGCAGTTCGCCGAGCAGAAACTATCGCTTAGTTATTCGAGGCAGCTGCGATGTGGCCACAGCTCCTTTTCCAACATCGGCGAGCTCTGAAGCTTGAAGCCGTTTCCAATAGCACTACGAGTAGCAAGGTCATCAGCATGGCTTACTCAATCAATTGCCTCAAAGCATCGCGTGCTGAGGGGTTCAGCAAAGCTGCAGTACTTTTTACCGCTGACGGCGGCGTCGTGCGAGAGTCTTTGCGCACGTTTTGGCAATTTGGGGGTATATGCAGAAAGCGGCGGATCCGGAAGCCGCAAACCGGCCGCCAGCCCGAAGCACCAAGCCTACCATCCCGAAACACTGTTAGAGGTGAAGGGATACTTGGGAGTAAAGCCCCGTTGCATGTACCTGCGTGATCCGATCCGTTGTGCCCTCATCCAAAACTCCTCGACTCAGAGCTCCTCCGAAGTGCCGGGGCCGTCAGCCTTCCCGCTTTCACTCTTGCCCTTCTTTGAGGCTTTGGCGCCTGCCGTGCTGGTGCCACCACAAAGGATTAGAAGGCAGGCCACGTTCAGACCGGCTTTTGGGCTGCGCTAGTGATCTGAAGCACTACGGCATTCAAAGCCTGGCATATGATGGGTTGATAATACAGATCAAGTTTCAGCCGAAAACACCGGAAACAACACCATCCTTAGGCTTCAAAAAGCCCTTGACTCAGAAAACCCCAACGGTCGCGAGGCTCTCAGCCTAACCGCTGTTGGCAGTACGGTCGTGGGGTCCTCTGCCTACCCGGTGAGATCCTCGGCCTAGCCGGTGTTTTGTGTGATGGTCGTGTGGTCCTCGGCCTACCCGCTGTTTGGTGTCACGGTGGTGGGGTCCTTTGCCTACCAGTGTTTGTTGCTACGGCCGTGGGGTCCTTTGCCTACGCGGTGTTGTGTTGCGGTCGTGGGCCGTCTGCCTGCTCGGTGTTACGGTCGTGGGGTCGGTCTGTGACGTGAGGATGCGTTGCTCCTCATTTATGGGGATATCTGGCATCTGATTTGGAGGGACTATGAGGGATTTGATCAAGTCTGACCAGGTCCCGAACCTTTCCCGGCCTTCTTCGGCCTTCTTTGCCGCAGCTCGGGCAGCTCGGCTCGCTTTTGCTTTCCTTGCGCGTAACAGGCACATATACTGTATCGACGAAGACTTTTTTTAATGCTGTCTTCCCGTGTCGGTTATCGTGGCAAGCAGTCAACGGTGCATTTGCTGCATTCGGCCACCCTGATTCACTGATCACAACAAAGAGGGCCCTGCACCAAAATCACAGCTCTGAGCTGTACATTGCATCAAGCTGCTCAAAGGCTTCTCGCTGGGCCTCTTCTGCCTGCGAGGTGCTTGCGAAGGGGCTATACCATGAACAGCCTCTCTCCTTCAGAACGCCAATGCTGCACAGGCACAAGCACCCACAAAGCTTCAGCTCCAATACCTTCAGCCTGAAAACCCAAAAAGGCACTCCAGTTCCTGAAGGGAATGCGGCTCAGGCGCAGCTAGTTGTTTTGGGATGTTCGGCGCTTTCATGTCTTCGAAGCTCCACTTCAGCCCTCAAACCTGGCGAGCCTTCGTCATCTCGGCCATTTCTGCCTCACGTAGGACCTACAGCACAGTGTTGTGAAAACCCGTCGCTTTGGGAACGGCGGTTGGACTCCGTTGTGCAGACATGAGTCCTTCCATTTCGCTGCAAACTCATCCGCTTCCGTAATGCTGTCCTTAGCAGGTGCCGGGTTCAGAACCTGCCACAACTACGGCATTTGCGAAAACCGAAGTAGTGTGACTGAGTAGTCCTCCGCAGCACTGGCGGTGCATGATGGAGCTGTTGTTGTAGCAGTAGCAGTTTGTCCCGATTGCTGCCTTTGACCCGCCCAGGCTTTCCAAGATATGTTACTATGCATGTATATAACTGTCTAGATTTGTGTGTGTGCGCGCGTGCGCGTGCTTGTGTGCGTGTGTGCTTATTCGTCACCGCGCATAACTTCCTATTGCCGTTTCCATAGACGTGTAGCCTCCCTAGTTTAGCCAACTCCAATCGCCATGACTTGCAGTGTCTGATGATGGCTTAAGTCATTTACAGGGGCTTAGGATGTCTGGTTGCTCGTTTGTGCTTTCGCCGCTGGATACTGAACGTAGCTTTTCTAAAGACCACGAAAATACTATGGTGTAAGAAGCCGCTGAACCCATAGCATCACAAACTCCAAAAGACTCTAGATCAGCGCAAACGGCTGGCACAGTTTGCTCCAAAAGCTGAGCTGAGCGACCAACAAACAAAATCGTAAGCAGCACCAAGACGCTGTCAGGATGATGTTGTCAAAGATGGTTCCTCCTTTTACCTGCCAAACGTCAATGCCTGTAGGGGGGGGCCCAGCATGGAAGCAAACGAGAACTCTGAAGTCGGGCGGCACTCTGGACATCATGTCAAACCACTGCTGGAAGTCAACTTGTCGGACCGACACAAAGACAGCATATCGCACCTACATAGCCAAAGTCGTCGTACTTGTACAAGTCGGGCTTATCCACGAACGCAGGATTGGGAACCATCCGCGCTTCCCATTTCCCACGATATGCCGGGTTTGCTATCATGCGCGGGGACCACGTGCCCTTGAATGCAGGATTGTCGACCATCGGCGGCTCCCAGTCTCCATCCTCTTCGTCATCCCATTCCTCCCGTGGTCTGCATGTGCAATGCCTGTGCAATGCCTGTGCGAGTCTATGCCAGTATGCCAAACCCTGCAATCAACAGCTATTGAGGCCAAAACTCCCGAAGCTCCCAAATCCCATGGACCCCATTGCTTCTCCTCTGGCTTCGTGGCATGGGAGTCGACGATCTGTGCCTGCTGTGCCCAGTCTGTGGGCTTCATGTCAGTCGGGTCCTCAATCTTCTCCTGCTCAACCTGTGGCAGAGGAGCTTTGTCTGCCTTCAGGGTAGCGGCTGTTTGGGCTTTTAGTCGTTCATGTGTCGGGGATGTCAGTGTTAAGATGTACCAGGTCCTAAGTACTACGTATTGTCGCATGTTAGCATTTGGGTCATGGCATATGCGGCGCAGGGTGAGACAACATATGAACAAACTCCGCAGAGTTCCATGGTCCACACAAAACCAAACACCAAGGGCACAAGCCAAATCTCAGTGCAACCAGGACTCCCAATCTTCGGGCTTATGGTCGCTAGGGTCCGGGATCCGACTGGCTGGCAGCATGTCCCAATCGTCCTGCGGCTCTGTAGTCTTGCACGCTCCAACAAAGCGAGACAAGACACAATCAGATCCATGTCAGCACTTGCAGAACCTGCCACCCCCAGCAGTTCGGCACCCCTGAAAGAGGTTAGTAGTAGTAGTAGTAGTAGTAGTAGTAGTAGTAGTAGTAGAAGTAGTAGTAGTAGTAGTAGAAGTAGTAGTAGTAGTAGTAGTAGTAGCAGTAGTAGTAGTAGTAGTAGTAGTAGTAGTAGTAGTAGTAGTAGGTGACACGCTCTTAACTGATCATGGTGTTTTCTGCTGTTTTTTGACTTTTTCTATCGTTTTCTCTGGTTTTTTCTGCGTTTGACGGGTTGGGGGGGGTGGGGGGGGTGGGTGGGGGGGGGGTAATTACGTGCTGTGCTTTGTGCACACATGACCATGCTGAGGGGTTGGGGGGGGGGGGGTGGGGGGGTAATTACGTGCTGTGCTTTGTGCACACATGGGGGTCGTGCTGGGCTTTGTGCACGCTTGACCACGCTGTCTACTGTTTTCCTCTGTTTTTTTGGTTGGTTTAGGGGCAAGACCTTTTGGGCTCACAGTGGAGGGTTTAGGGTTTGCAGGTACAGATCTTTTGGGCTTTTTTGGGAACCTTTTGGGCTTCCAGTGGAAATATGGGGTTTGAGGTTTCAGCCTACAGATCTTTTGGTTTTTTTGGCATCTGGGGTTTAGGGTTTCAGGGCAAGACATTTTGGGCTTACAGTGGAGGGTTTAGGGTTTGGGGCTTGAGGGTAGAGACCTTTTGAGGTTTTTTGGGATTTGGGGTTTAGGGTTTAAGGGTAAGACCTTTTGGGCTCACAGTGGAGGGTTTCGGGATCTTTTCGGCTTTTTGGGATTCACAGTGGAGGGTTTAGGGATCTTCTGGGCTTTTTTGGGATTTGGGGTTGAGGGTTTAAGGGAAGGGTTTGGGGTTGAGGCTGTAAGGTGAAAGGACTTTTGGGCTTTTTCTATGGGATTTAAGGTTTAAGGGGGTGCACTGTGGGACTGCTTTGTCATTCAGGGTACACATGGGGTTTGGGGTTTCAGGCTCCAGATGTTTTGTGTTTTTTTCTGGGGACGTGCTTGACGCTGTGGGGTTGAGATTTTAAGGGTGCACGACTCTTGGGCTTGCTTCAGGTTTCGGGGTTTCGGATTTCAGGGTGCACGACTGTTCGGCTTGCTGGAGGCGTTCGGGTTTAAGGACAAGTTTGGCCACATCTTAGAAAACCCGCGAAACGCTGTAAATACCGGTCTTTTCCTCTGTTCTGAGAACACGTCTGCGCAAAGTAGGCCCTGTAATTGACCGTTTTTGAAGCCCGAAAACACTGTAAATACCGATGTTTTCCTCCTGCGCCTAAAGTATAGTTGAAAGTAGTTTGCGGGACTTTTTACACGTCCATTTTTCGTGTCCGTAAACGGACAAAGCCAGGAAACACTGTAAATACCGAGGTTTTCGTCTCTTAACACGAAAATTGCACGCCACAAAACCCCTGCGATCAATTAAGAACGTGACGCCTAGTAGTAGCAGCAACAGCAGTTGTAGTAGTAGTGGTAGTGGCAGTAGTAGTAGTAGTAGTAGTAGTAGTAGTAGTAGTAGTAGTAGTAGTAGTAGTAGTAGTAGTAGTAGTAGTAGTAGTAGTAGTAGTAGTAGTAGTAGTAGTAGTAGTAGTAGTAGTAGTAGTAGTAGTAGTAGTAGTAGTAGTAGTAGTAGTAGTAGTAGGTGACACGCTCTTAACTGATCATGGTGTTTTCTGCTGTTTTTTGACTTTTTCTATCGTTTTCTCTGGTTTTTTCTGCGTTTGACGGGTTGGGGGGGGTGGGGGGGGTGGGTGGGGGGGGGGTAATTACGTGCTGTGCTTTGTGCACACATGACCATGCTGAGGGGTTGGGGGGGGGGGGTGGGGGGGTAATTACGTGCTGTGCTTTGTGCACACATGGGGGTCGTGCTGGGCTTTGTGCACGCTTGACCACGCTGTCTACTGTTTTCCTCTGTTTTTTTGGTTGGTTTAGGGGCAAGATCTTTTGGGCTCACAGTGGAGGGTTTAGGGTTTGCAGGTACAGATCTTTTGGGCTTTTTTGGGAACCTTTTGGGCTTCCAGTGGAAATATGGGGTTTGAGGTTTCAGCCTACAGATCTTTTGGTTTTTTTTGGCATCTGGGGTTTAGGGTTTCAGGGCAAGACATTTTGGGCTTACAGTGGAGGGTTTAGGGTTTGGGGCTTGAGGGTAGAGACCTTTTGAGGTTTTTTGGGATTTGGGGTTTAGGGTTTAAGGGAAGACCTTTTGGGCTCACAGTGGAGGGTTTCGGGATCTTTTCGGCTTTTTGGGATTCACAGTGGAGGGTTTAGGGATCTTCTGGGCTTTTTTGGGATTTGGGGTTGAGGGTTTAAGGGAAGGGTTTGGGGTTGAGGCTGTAAGGTGAAAGGACTTTTGGGCTTTTTCTATGGGATTTAAGGTTTAAGGGGGGCACTGTGGGACTGCTTTGTCATTCAGGGTACACATGGGGTTTGGGGTTTCAGGCTCCAGATGTTTTGTGTTTTTTCTGGGGACGTGCTTGACGCTGTGGGGTTGAGATTTTAAGGGTGCACGACTCTTGGGCTTGCTTCAGGTTTCGGGGTTTCGGATTTCAGGGTGCACGACTGTTCGGCTTGCTGGAGGCGTTCGGGTTTAAGGACAAGTTTGGCCACATCTTAGAAAACCCGCGAAACGCTGTAAATACCGGTCTTTTCCTCTGTTCTGAGAACACGTCTGCGCAAAGTAGGCCCTGTAATTGACCGTTTTTGAAGCCCGAAAACACTGTAAATACCGATGTTTTCCTCCTGCGCCTAAAGTAGTTGAAAGTAGTTTGCGGGACTTTTTACACGTCCATTTTTCGTGTCCGTAAACGGACAAAGCCAGGAAACACTGTAAATACCGAGGTTTTCGTCTCTTAACACGAAAATTGCACGCCACAAAACCCCTGCGATCAATTAAGAACGTGACGCCTAGTAGTAGTAGTAGTAGTAGTAGTAGTAGTAGTAGTAGTAGTAGTAGTAGTAGTAGTAGTAGTAGTAGTAGTAGTAGTAGTAGTAGTAGTAGTAGTAGTAGTAGTAGTAGTAGTAGTAGTAGTAGTAGTAGTAGTAGTAGTAGTAGTAGTAGTAGAGGTTAGGAGGTAGAGGTTAGTAGTAGTAGTCGTAGTAGTAGTCGTCGTAGTAGTAGTCGTGGTAGTGGTAGTGGTAGTGGTAGTGGTAGTGGTAGTAGTAGTAGTAGTAGTAGTAGTAGTAGTAGTAGTAGTAGTAGTAGTAGTAGTAGAGGTTAGTAGTAGTAGTAGTAGTAGTAGTAGTAGTAGTAGTAGGATGAGTAGGATGAGTAGTAGGAGTAGTAGCAGCAGTACTTGTGGTACTTATAGTTCTCATTCTAGAAAAGAAGGCAAGAACGCAAAACGCGCAAACCTGGACCAGGGAAAAAAGCCCCAACCTACTGCAAAAGCATTGGGGTCCTTCAGCGAGCCTTCGTAGATCTGCTCACCGTCCACCTGCAATCGAACTGCAGTTGCTACCGAACAGGAGACAAACGAATCTTGGACCGAAGTTGTCTCGTCTGGCAATCTTCTCCATGTACACGTGTGTACGACTGTGCGTTCACACCTACTGACATCTTGCGCAATATGCCAAACTGCAGGATTGTAAACAGCATCGTATTGCTTGAATTCCAACTCCTGACCTTAGATACAAGAAAAGCCCGTACTCAATGTCAGCAGCAAATTGAAGTGTCGGAAGCCCGCCAGCCTCGACCCGAACGGAACTATCCGGCTTCAGGTGCAGTCGGTACAGGTGAGAGATGCCTTCACCTTGGCTGTGGAGATGTTTTCAACACATGCCGTTACCGTTAAATCAACAGCCTGAGATGTACAAAAACTACTTAAGCCCCAACTTCAGATCCAGCTCAAGCCTGATCATCTCCAGAAACCCCGTAAACGGAAAGCACGATTGTGCGATATAATTTTCGAGCCCCCAATGCAATTCTTGCGATCGAAAACTTGGCGAATGGCAATCCCAGCCCACTCTTCCAACTCTGCCAAACGTCCTTCCTGCTTGTAAGGCAGCTCCGACTTTTTAAGGTAGTTCTTGCCTGGGCCATGGGGTCAACAAAAACCAACCTCAAGATCTTCAAGCAAGCGCGGGATGGGGGTCGGAGTAAGCACTCACTGTTTGTCTGACATCGGAGGTCTCTTCAGGCTCCCGATTTCCTTGACAGAAGGTGACCGCCTCAAATCTGAAACCAGCCCTTCCCCGTGCCCTTTGGATGACTATCCTTGACCTGCCTGATGACTGCCTCAATGACCTTCCGGGGACTCTCGGACCCTGCCACTTTGGTGCCTTGATAGCTAAAGATGAGGTGGGTCCGCTTGTCAGTGTTGCACTGGTCCGGGCCGAACCTCGTGGTGGCTGCTTCAGGGTTCAGCATCTTATGTTTCACCTGCGAAGGGCCTTTATGTGGATCTTGCCGGCACCGAAATCTGCGAGCTTGCAGCCGTTGACCGATCATATCTTGAAGTATCCAGATTGGAGTTTGGGCTTTCGCCGAGTACTCGGTTTTGGGGCTTTGTCTGCTGACAGACTTGAGGTACCCTGTCAGCTCAAAAAAAGGACGCATGATGAATCATGATGAACTAAGCAGCATGATGTGATACGGTGTCGGCTCCCCAAAAGAGGCCAAGTCCTCCAGCGGCAAATGGCAAAGGATATCAATCAAGCTTTTCTGGCAATCTTAGCGGTTTGCAACCGAACCGTCTTGGCCGAGTGGTGGCAGCGTTTGGAACGAGCTGTGCGCGTAGAGACATTGTTTAAATCATTTTGGACAGTTGCGTGCGCCCAATCCAGGTAAAACGCAGGCTTCTGTTGTCCAAGTCGTTTGGCTTTGTTTTTTCATTGGTTTTTCCCCAAACAGTCTACTGTTGGGGTTCTAAATTCATTTAAGGAAACCCTTGCCGACATTCTGATTACTGTTGCCGGGTTCCTGGGCTCCTTGTCTCCCTTTGTCTCCCTTCGTCTCCCTTTGTCTCCCGTTGTCTCCACTGCTTCTTTGACGTGCCTTTGACTGTTTGCGGTCTTCGGTGGTGTAACTTGTTACGAAGTCAATACCGATGGCTTCCGTTCGTGGCTCTTAGCACAAGCAATAGGAAACACCGTAAGTACCGGTAGAGTCTGCAGCTCGGTTTTGCGCACCAGGTCACTAGGACCACTAGAATCACTAGAACATGAAAGCCATTATCATTGAAAGCCTGAAGCAAAAGATGCCACAGAACCATGAAAGAACTCTTGCTCCCCTCGAGAGAGCTAGCAAACCAAACCACTCCCGCCTACCCAAATTACCACGACAGCAGTACAAAAGAAGGCATCTGTTACAGAGACCAACGAGCTACCTTTTGCACAGGGGAAATCCAGACGGCCCTTCAACAAGGGAAGGGCAACCATCCAGCATGAGCAACATCAGAGCTCGAAGCAGGAACTGAGAGACTTGTGCACCAACCACGCTGCTTGCTCCAACAAGCCAACGCAAGCAACCAAGCAAATATATAGATTCAAGCATGTTAGACACGGGAGAATGTGCACCCAAATGTTCAACGGGTGGGGGGAGGGCGGGCATCTGCATCTGGCAGATCCTCCTTGCTTGGCCCCACTTTCAGGTAGCCACCGCCGCAGCCAAGGTCCTTCTCCTCGGTCTTTAGGCTGCTGTGGCTTTTGTTCACAAGGCTGGCAAAACGTTTAGACTTCAGAGCGTTCGAAGCTTCAGGAATATCAGATAGTTAAACTGATCCCGTCAGTACACCCCCTGTCTTCCAGGGCAGTTTGTGGCCTCTGGGAGTTGGGAGGTGTAGGACCTTGTGGGGGGCCATGGGGCTGAGAAGGGTGCTAAGCTGCTGAGCTCTTCAAAGCAGTCATGCAGCTTCTCGCATTGGGCAACTAAACAATACCCCGGTACCCCTCAATCTCGGGCCTCTAAATACACTCCTCGAAGCTTCTGCTGTTGAGTCTTCTTTGGCTTTCGTCGGGTTCGGTAGCACTTCCGGAACATGGCCAACATCACGTCAGGGTTTAGGCCAGGCTTGGCCCTAGGCATCGACTTTTGTTGAAACACAGGATGTTTTCTTTCACAGGGTTGTGCTAAGCACCGTACTGGGTGCAGATTTTTCCACCCAAAAACAGATGTCGGGAGCGGCTTGAGCGCTGGGGGCCTTGGTGGCAGGAGGTACAGATTTAACATGTACAGATGTGGGCTCAGGCCCGCTTGTACCGAAGTTTGGAAACAGCAGCACTCTGCTCTCGGCCTTCTATCGCTTTCTCTTGACAGTACAAGCCAAATCCACAAAGGGCATTTTGTCACACATTGTCACCGCATTGGCATGCCGACTTCTCTTCGTTTCATGTTCATGATGCGGCGATCTCCTTCCTCTCGCTCCGACTGGCCATCTGGTCCCAATTCGACCCAATCCAACTATGTCCAACACCACACCCCCCCCCCCCCCCAATAACTCTGCAACCATCCACAACCCCCGCACATCCTGTTAGAGACAGTGCCCTCTCCGCGCAACGCGCAGCCCGAACCTTCACCCTGCAAACTGCAAGTTGCAACCTATACTATCATCTGCTGCCCACAGATCTCACAGTGACGAAACGAGGTGAAGTGTGAAGTTGTGGCTGACGGCTGACGACGAGCTCAATCCCTTTGCTAGAGCCTATTTCGCAAGCCTCGGTTACGCCAAGGCGGCCGACGTGCGACATTTACGATTGGACGCTGCCGCTCGCGGCCGCTCCCTCGTCCCCTGAAGGCAGAACACCATACCAAGAGGGGCAGGGGCTTGCTCAGGTCTTGCAGCCACTCTGCGTACTTCACCTGGTACTGAATGATGAGCTCCTTGCCTTCGTTGCTGAAGGGCTCGAAGGCAGCAGCAACGCCGTAGAACCTTAGCGGGGCAACCCGATCCCAGCCACCTTTTGTTATGAAAGGGTCCCAGCTTTCAAAGACCCAAGACAACAACGACATCGTTCAACACGGAGTCCACTTAGCTCGCCTAGAACCCTTATGTCTGACACAAACACTTTGTCTCGCGCCTGTGGTCACAGATCCGCACACCGCGGGCAAGAATCAAGTTGTGCAAGATTGGTGAATTGATATACTGTAAACTCTGACCGCAGTTCGTCGAGTCAAGGAAGGTGTCATCAAGCAAAATGCCGGAATCAGTGCTTAGGAAATTATCAGCAACCTTCTAGCAAGAAGCGCGATTGCGAAGAGGTGGTTGTGGGCAGAACGAGCATCAACATGCCAGGGCCCCTCAGGGTTCAGGTTCGGCTCTTTGGACTGTAGGGGTGCTTTAAGTTACAACCCTGAACTGAAAACCATGGCCTTCAACAAACCAAGGTGCTTCATGATCTCTGCCGTCTGAATTCCTCGGCATTCTCATTCCAAGCTTTCCCCAGCCCTTCAACCGACATACTAAATATTAACCTTGCCATGCAAAGCCAGCCCCTGAACCGGAACCTTTGGTACCAGGGTCACAGCGTGTTTTGTAAGCCCAAAGATCTGATTGAAACAAAAGTAGGCTGCAGTGCTACAGCTGCCGGTCGAGGCAATCTTGACGGTTTGGGGATTGCTCAGGCTTTGCTGTAGCTGCAGTCTCAGTATCCTTGATCTTCCGAAGGGTCTCTGAAGAAACGTCCGGCCGACAGCACCCACTTCCCCATCTTCTCCTGGCCGGTGGCAACTACCAAAATCCGAGCAGAAGCAACTGCACCCTATCGGTTGTACTCATGTGCATGGGGAAGTGTGGTGGCTACCAACTTCCCTTTGGCGGGAAACCGCTGTGGCAAACTCCCCCGCTTTTCGAGCTGGATGCGCGCGGGGAACCATGGTTTTGCTGTGTTTTGCCAACTCCCCCCTTTTGGTGCGGCTGGAAACAAATGTTCCCAATTGCTCGAAAAGGTCGCAAAGATGCCTCAGGATCCCAACTTGCCACGCAGGATCAGTTTCTCGTCTCCCGCACGGCCTGGGAGCTGCGTTGTATCGGAAGAAAGATACCTCAACAGGACTGGCCTTGCGAAACGTACAGCTTAAGGCGCATTTGAGAGTATTTTGAATTTTGGCCTCTCTCGAGCACACACGGAGACAAACGATCTCCATGTACATACGTATATATTCTATACATACATGTAATATTAAGATAATCTGTGCTCTGTTAAGCTTGGGAAACCACAAAATATTAAACTCCAGAAAAAGTTCATTCACTTCCGCGGACATTCAAGCCACATTCAGAAAGCATTCAAGACATCCAAAACCCACAGAAAAAGACACCAAGAAATACAGCCAAGCGCCTCAGAGGCAAGTGTAAGAGCAAAACCCACGACTGATTTTTTCTGAAAATTATTTGAATCTGCCCCGGGGCCGAATCTGAAAAACATCTGAAAAACAACTAAAAGTTTATTCTTTCAGCAAAGCCCAGTCTTATCAGGAACATACTATCTTAAACATAATCGATCAGCCGAAACATGGCTCGCTGTAATCACGTACCTCAGGAGTGTGCCACTACAGCATTTCATTCCTCCAGCCTCAAGCCCCTTCCCCCTTCACCCCGCCGCACAGTCAAACTCGTAGTGTTGATGAGCGCAAAGTTTTGACAAAGGCTTCCGCAGGAATGCACCACTCCGTCCTTCTCGCTGTCTTTCCACTTGCTCAGTGTCCATCGGCTTGCCCAGGTATCGTCGAACGTCTCTGAGAAGTAGACTTTCCCCCAGGAAACCTCCTTCATTGTGGCATGATGGCCGCAAATGGTGACATCTAACCATCCACAGGATTCCTTTCGTGCGAGCATGCTAATTCCAAAAGCCCCATCAGACCGATTTCATTCAGTAGAAGGCCGAAAAGTAGATTAGACCAAGATGTTATGCTGAGTTGCCTGTGTATCGCATGAATTCTTCAACCAGTTCCTTTTACCACCTTTTTGGCCGACGATAAACTCAAAAGTTTGGAACACTCCCTCAAATCGCGAATGCATCATCCCACCGCTGTGAGCAGGAGAGCACACCAGAGCCAACTCGTTCCAGCCATGGGAAGGAGCTCTGCTGTTAAGGGCTGTAGAGTTGTAGAGTTGAAGGTGGGTTTCAGGGCAGGCAGGCATTGATTTATGGTATGTCAGGGTTTTTTGAGGTCTGTCAGCATGGGCTTGGTAAGGGCTGAGGTGAAGGGGGCTATGCTCATGTGAATACTCTGCATGCTTGAGTCGCAGATGCTGAAAGCTGCAAAGATGTGCACGTCAGGTGTCTAGAGCCTTGCAGGCCTGCGAGCTGCGGCGACTGTGTGTAGTAGCACAGGGGTGTGCGGCATGCACAACACCGTCATTCCCTAAAGCCTCTGAACAAGAAAACCGCGCATGCCTCGCTGTGGTCGAACTATCAACAACCAGGGCAGCAAACACAAGAGAATACAACAAGAACGTCCGGAGTCTGCGCCAAAGGTTCATTCTGCGGAGATGATTCCAATAACCCCCATCAACATGCACTGCAGCACTGTGTTGTGTCGTGTTGCCAGGAGGATCCGGTTGGCGTCACATGGCATCGGTGATGAAGCGCCCTTCTTCCAGGCTCAGGCTGTTGAAAGGCGAAAACCAATTCTAAACCTTGCACCCAGTACGCTGTCTGTCAGCTCGTGCAGGCTAGCGCCGTATGGGCAAAATCCAAACATTCAACGATGGATTTTCTGATTCTCAGAAACAGAAGAAGCAGAAATACTTGTGATTGGTGCTAGAAGCATTGACACAACATATGCCTGTAGCAGTGCATGATAATCCCAACTTTGGTACTTAGCAGTTATGACCTGTGCCCCAACCACATCAGGAGCTGCTGGCAGGCACAGCTACTTCGCCACACCGTTGCGCGCAGGTGCAGGGCGGATGCCCCCGGGCAGTGGCCTGCAGTGTGTGCGCAAAACGTCTACACAGCCATGCACATTAAAAAAAAACCCTTGAGCCCTCTTCCCTCCGCTGCTGTCACAAGCCCAATCATCTCCAATTTCTATCGCCCAAGCCTCTGTAGCAGAGGAGACCATGTTGGGGCAAAGAGGAGGTCCAATTGCAGTATTCGCGCCACATCCTCTGCAACTCGAAGTTGCAACATTCAGACAAGTCTTACACAGCAGTTGCCAGTCTAACACGAGCCCCGAACTTCCGAACCCCAGTGCTCATGCACGAAGGAAGGCGGTGGACATTTCTAAAGCTCGCAAGACACGTGTCTTGCGGAAACGTGAACCCTAACGGCATCCTCTGAGAACGAAGCGTCCACGACGTCTACGATTTCAAAGTCGTGGTCGGCCATGAAGCGAATAAGTTCCTTGCATTTGAGCTTAGGGCGTGGATGTAATGATGTATCCCTAAACCTGCCTGCAACGGCGAAGCTTAAGAAGCGCTTCGCGGCACGTCTGTAAGGTCTGACAAGGATCTGAGAACCGTGGCGCGCCCTCGTTGTAGGGCAGCACGGAGGCCTCCACTTCCCTTTTGAGCCAGTGTCTTCTTCAACCCTTGACTCTCTGAACACACTGCCTCCAACATGCTGAACCGACACATTCTGAAATCAATAGCTCGGGTTGAAGGCAAAGCTCGGTTTTCATTACAAAGCAGGCTTAAGACTTCAGATTCAGTACCGAGCCTTCTGCAGCGCACCCGCGTAAGATTCAAGTTCATGGCGCAATAAAACACGTGGTAATCTTTTCAACTTAGACTTGGGCATGCAGAAGCCCTGCCCAATCCTGCCTCCAACAGTACCAGCTGCGCGTTTCGCAGCGTCCGGGGGCCTCCCCTCAAAACCTCAATCTCCGCACCCTGGACATCTGCCTGCAGATTCGGGGTATATATTGTAGTGGCTTCGAAGGGCCAAGGTCCAACAACAACTTGGTTACTTGAGGCAGAAATGGATGTATGAGAGCACATGACATTCAAAGTGCAAAGCCAGGAGGTTCACAGAAAGTTGCAGTCCGCAAGCGCAAGCAGGCCCAAGGCTGTCATCTCAGACTGCAAGTTTCACAACATTTAATCCCAACCCTTCCAGCGCCCTCCAAGACCAGGAGCCATGCCTTGACAAGATCACAGCAGGCTTGCCCAGCTGAGCCTGAAGTGAGGGTGTAATTTGACTGCTCATCCGTTCAGGTATTCACGTGTCAGGATTTTCCGGTACGATTCAAATCTTTGGTTTCTTTAGGTTTTGCTTAGTTCTGTCTGTTTCTGCTCAAATGAAGCACGACAAACTCATCCCAGAAGCTCGGAAGGTCTGGGAAGCATTCCGTCGTCTTTCAGAGGGCATAGTCGGGTAGGGTTTTGGTGTTGAGTCTTTGTTTCCTGGGGGGTTTGGGGGTCGTCATCGTCTCGTAGTCGTAGTCGCAATTTTGGCAGCGGCGGCAGCGGCGGCGGCGGCGGCAGCGGCTGCAGCAGCAGCAGCATTACGTAATCGTAGCGCTAACAGCGAGAGCAACTTGTCCTAGTCCTTCTCTTCACGTCTTTTGACCTATCAGGCTCTTGTAAGGTTACCGGTGCACGCTTTCTGTCTTTGCGTGATTATTGTCTGGGAACAGCCCAAGTGCTCCCCATTGTTACCCACGTGAGCTTGGCAGCTGGAGTTCTGCACCACCTGATCCAAAGTCCAGCTCCGCAGCACCAGGGGCTGATGGCACAAAGGGTTCTCATACCAGGGCGTCTGCTCCCGAAAGATGGAGGCGCCTCGACATGGGGAGGTGTGACTGGAGTCTCGAAGCCTGAACTCCTGGACTGAAGATAGTCAAATGATTCCAGTGCGCAATATCTTATGCATATCAAAACGGAGCCTCTTGAGCACCCACACAATCCTCGGCCCTTGGAGAAGTCAAAAGGTCCCAGGCGCCGGTCTTGACATTGCAGCGGGTGCTGTGAAAGACCATCCTTTGCATGTGAAAAGTGCCCCTGAGTTGGAAAACAAAAATCAGCAACTGCTACTATTGCCTCAGCCAAAGGGCATGCATCCTGCAAAACCCGCACCCCTTCAGCCCTTCAACTCGAGGCCCTGGACCATGGTGGATCCTCGGCCGCGGCTGCGAGGTGAGCAAGGCGATCTCAAAACGCTCGCCTGGCAAAACGGAGGGAGGGTGGAGATTCCAGTCTTCACCTTGCCAGCTAGCACTGAAAAACCCATTTAGTTGCGGCCAACGTGAGTCGCTACCAGAAAAAACAAACAACCTCTATGCGGTAAAGGCATGCCGAATACAACCCCACAATTTAGTTCGGCCCGGGCCCATATAGGGGGTTGGAACCCAAAACCACACACATCCCGTAAAAAGCCGCTGGGACTTGTAACCGGAGCTACGGGGACGTGTATAACAGAAACCGGCCCAGGACGTAAGAGGAACCGTTCCGCACACTCAGATGGCAATGACAAGAGAGGAAAAGGCAACAGACAGCATGGCAAGCGTGCGACAACGACTCATGGAATGTTCCTTCCCAACAACCTCTTATGAGCGGCTTGTCGAACGTTGCGCAACATGCTTGGTGGGCCCCTGTCGATTTTCAGCCTGACAAATACAGAATCCCTTCGAGTATTAGGGTGGGCTCCTATCGTTCTGTCGAGGAGAAGTGCGAAACAAAAAACAGAAAGCATGCAACAGGAAGACAAGATTGGATCTACTTTAGTATTGTCCGATCCTCGCCATACTGCATGCACGTGATATGTATTGAAGCAGAAAATTTGCTACTAGTACTGGTTAAAGTGGCGCTTAAGCGAAGTGCACCGTTTGGGGCCTCATCAATTTAACTTCGAAAAAAACAGTGTGAACAGCAAGCCGACATGCTGTCCTCGTCACTACAGGTCAGCGCACTGCGGTCAGGTCACTGCAGACTGAGATTCGTACAGTCACTACGAGACTCCGTGTGCACAGCTGATTACCCGAAGCCACGAGCTCCTGTTGTTTAACTGGTTGCCGTTACGGGTGCGGGCGGTTTCCGTTACTGAACCGGTACTGGCTCGAGCCCGCTTCCTCACATAAACCTTCCGGCTACAACGCACCGATTCCCACTACAGCAGTTTGCCCCTCCCAGTTAATCGGGACCCCGACCCGAAACCTGGCAATCCCAAGCCCCATTGTGCGAGGAAGTATCTGGAAAAAGAACCGTGAACACGAACCGGTAAGCCAGGTAAGCCGTCAAGCCGGAATTGCTGAAGCCAGGAAACTTGATGGTGAAACCATTGAGGAGGGTTACGGGGCACAGCAGGGGTCCGCATTCCCTACGACGAGGAGAAGGTCTTGCTTCTGTTGGAGGGGATGTTTCGTGAGCTTTGTTCAGGGCTCATGCTTCACGGAGCCTCGCCTGTATTTCTGAGCTTGTCCGCATGCTCCGGATTGGCTTCGATCAGCAGGAAGTCGGCCGAAGGAAACACCTCGACCGGCGAAAGGCCGCAACGAACCGGGCCCACATGTTCTGCTATGAATGCTATGATCTGCATGCTAAGCTGGTCGAATAATCGGGCTGCCTCTCGCGCGTCGCGTGTCCAGTTGCCCACATGCGCGCCCACATCGACTATGTGCCGTGGCTCGAAGCCCAACCTTTCCTGAGCGCGGCCGTGCGCAAGTTTTGCTGGTTGCCTCCAAAGGGTTCCGAGCGGAGCACACGAAATAGTTTGGCATTTTGTAGGACAAGAGTAGTGTAAGGAGCCCAGAGGAGGAACCCAGGAATGAATGTTTGGCGTCGGGCCGCCCAGAACTCTCCTCAAAGCCAACCCCGGAACCTTGATATGATGGGGGCTAAATCTGACATCTTGACTTTACCCGAAACATCCCGGAACACCCGCAGCAAAAGGAGGTGCCAGATTTCTGAGGGTGCTGGAACGCTGACAGAAGTGTAGAACGTGTAACTTCGAAGCTGGCTTTACGCCAATTGCCGACCAGAGATCCTTGAAGAAGCGGAGTCTGTCGATGCCTCCACCCTTCCAGTCGAAGGTTTTCCGCAGAGCCTCTTTGTCCTAAGAGGCGCTTGGAGCAGCAGGCTGCAAACAACGATCCGCGTTCGGGAATCCTCCGGCTGAAGGCTCTGTCTACGACCTTCCTGTCTCCACCAGCCACAAATACTGAACCACGAGACACCAATTACGAAGATGGCACCTGTCCCCAATTATTCGCGCAGAGCCCGAGCCCAGGGCCCTGAAAGCGCTAAGCCTAAGCCTGGGCCCCTCAACCTCAAGCACTTCCAAGGCTCAAGATCGTCCGCGAGCCCGAACCACCAAAGAAGGCTGGACCACCTGAGACTTGCAAGACAGCAGGGACTCAACATGAAAGACTGCGCGGTTAGCGCTCCGGCGTTGATGTTAAGGACATGCAAGGCAAGGCATGGCTCTGACTGGGTGATTTCTCCTCCCTTCCAGGCTACACGACCTTCTGCTGCCCAAGCTCCGACCCTAAAATCACTGACAATTGCCAGCACAGCAGGGGCAAGGCAAGGCGAGGCACATGCATCTCCATCCAGCCATTCCAGCCATTCAGATGCTGTCAAACCATGAGGGAAGGCACGCGCCAAGGGTAGTAACAGGAGCTCAGGCTGCGAAGGCTGCAAGGTTTGGGCTCAAGGCTTTGGTACCGGATATGGTGGGCTCAAGGCTTTAGGGACTTTAGGCTAGGGTGGGTAGGGTTCTGTTTGAAGGCTTTGACACGCGACCCGGCTAGGGCGGGTAGGGCTCTGTTTGTGAAGGCTTTGACACCATGCTCGGCTCAAGGTTTGGCACCCCACCTTGGGCCATCAAAACCAACAATACCTCGTTTCGTCGTGTCAGGGCAAGGTCTAAAAGAGCCCCAATCTACCCCAGAAAATGCCCAACGAAGCCTCCCCTGACAAACGTTTGAAAGTCCCTGGATGGGGCGCACTTGTGGTGGCTGCCGGGGTCACACCTGGAAGCCTTGGCATGGTAGGGTAGCAGGGTCGTTTTAGCCTAGCATTTGAGTCTTGTTGGTTTCCTTGCTCCATGCCTGCCGATTAGGACCAGGAAACTTTTGCGCTTATCCCCTCGCGCAGCCCCTGCCCACGTACGAGGTTCTGTCGCTTTGGCCAGTGCTCAGCTGAAGATCGGGGAGGTTGTTGAACAAATTGGGCGAGTCTGGCATCAATGGTTTTGATCGTTTCGAGCTTCAGTTCTTGGTCAAGGGTTTGAGGCTTCTGTCGGGGGCTTCGGCTGATGGGTCGGCTTCAAATTTTGGGTAGGGCAGGTAGGGCCGTGTGAGGCGTGGGTTCGCACGGACAAAAATGTCACCATGTGTTTAGGCGGCTCAAGTTTCCAAGTGACTGTGTGCAGGTCCCATCGGCTGTCCGCAATCATGTAATTTGGCAGGTGCAATCTTACTGTTCATGTTGCCAGTCGGCCGGCCAGTGTCTTGGCGCACGCCAACTTCGTCTTGCGTGGTCATCGCTGTTTTAGCAAAAACGACTTGACGTTCAATGCAGGATGTTCGCCATGTTCGGCCTATACCGAAATTTGAAGAAAAACCCTGGATAGAATACATGCCTGATCACGCCTGGACGCAAAAGCCACAAGCTGGAGAAGCACAAGGCAACTTTGCATAACGAGTCTGCGACCAGCATCTAATGCCCACTCAACTGGGGCTGCAGCCCTGGGTGCGGCTGCGGAAGCTGCGCCACGTGTGGGTGTGTAGCTGTTGGAGCCTCCAGCGGTGGCTGGTAGCCCGGGAACGCGGCCGAGGGCCTGTCTGAAACCTCTGGCAGCTGGAGTTCGGGCGAGGGTTCCGAAGAATCCTGGAGAGGCTAGCACCTGCTGGGAACCACGTCCTTCACTTTTGCAGGGAGTTACCATGTTCAACCCCTGACGCGCCGGGCCCCATGTTACAGGCTTGGGGGCGTTGAGGGCCTTTAGCGTTGAGGGATGTTGAGGATGGGCTTTAGGTTAGGGTTGGGCTGAAGACATGGAACACACTTAACCCCACGAAGGGGCTTCAGAGGAAACTGAGTGTACCTTTGAAGGTGTCGATGCTCACACTTGCAGGAAGCCGGGCTAAAGGATTTCGACTTTTGGGTTTCGTGTTGTTGGGTTCAGGGTCAGAGTGAAAAAGAGCTGACTATTCAAGCATCCTTCAAGCACCATTCGTGCACCCACATGTAAACAACACCGCAAGAACGTAAATGAGCAAAGTGAATTCACGAGTGTCTGAATTTAAGTCCCAACAAATACCAGGTGTGCCGCGCTCACAAAGTGACACCGATGCAGCTCATATCTCACATGCATGTCATATCCCGTACGCTTCTGCACAAACGGCGTAAACAGATGCTATCGCATGGCGGGATCTGGTTGCCAATGACTGACGTGGGACTGCATGAGCAGAGCACTGTTACGACCACGCGCATGGTGTCGGGCTGCACGGCCATCATTCAAACAATGGTGCTCAGATCGTGCCAGACCCCAGTAGCGTGCTGACAGATGCGGTCCGTAGACGATGGTGGATTATGGTGTGAAGGGTAGCATGGGGGTCTTCATGAAAGCACGGGCAGTCGCGAGCTAATGGCCAACAGGACTGCGTCATGCTACTTTGATGCACAGCCAAGCCACGTGCAGCGTCTGGGGAAGCTGCTGCTGAGGTAGATGGAAGTTTTGGGGTTGGGTCGGTGGAACCTGTCCTTGTGCAGCCTGCGGCATCTGAAAGGGTGGCAGCTGGAACTCAGGCTTCAGGATCTCCTGGATGTGATGGTCCAGGTAGGGGGCCTGCAATTCGTGAAGGGGTTGGCCCTGTTGCTCTGGAAGCAGGGTCGCAGGGACGGAAGGCTGTTGTGGGGGATACTGTTGTCGCGGGACATGCTGCTGCATTGGTGGGTACCGCTGGTCTGCTGGCAGCATGGTTGTTGGGACTCCCGGCTGTGCTTGGGGGGGAAAAGGTGGCTGCCACAGGGGCTGCTGATCGGGCAGCATGGTAGCTGAAAATGTCTGCGGTGGGAAGTGCTGCTGCACAGGCAGGCGGTGCTCCGGCAACAGTGTTGCTGGCACCGATGCTTGTTGTGGTGGGGGGAATCCGTTTGGTGGCGGTAGCCATTGGTGTTGAAGATGTGGCGGCAAAAGTGCCTCACAACTCTTTCCACACACTTTCGCTGTGGATCAAGGCTACATCGAACCAAAAACCAGGGGAGGCCTCAATCTACATCCTCCTTCCTTGTGACTTGGTCGGTTCGGGCCGCCTGCGCCGCTATTTCTTCCGAGTCAAGTTCTGGTAACCCGTCAGTTTTCTTGAGCCCGAGCACTGCCATCCAAAATCTCTACAAACTCCTCAACCCTTAGGACCCTGAAACCCTGCAGTCCGGCTTACGAATCACATCTATGCCCTGCCTCTGGGGTGCGACCTTAGTCGAATCCGCACTTTGGTTCACAGCTTTTTGAAGCTACCTGCCTATCGTGGTGAGTTTTGGGATCAGAATTGTGTCTAGAGAACTCGAGCACTCGAGGGATTTCGGCTGTAGGCGGGACAGCCTCACATTAGTCCCTGCAGCCTACACATTACCAGATCTGGCAGCCCTCCAAAACCTAAACTCTTCAAGTAATTCCTGTAACCAAGAAGCGCATGAGAACCTTCCCTTATTGAACTAATTCACGGTGGGGGGGGGGGGGTCGTCGTGAACTTTCCGGCACATGCTTCTTCTCGGACAAGTTAATGCGTGATAATTTGGTAGAGTGGGAGAACTGGCGGCAGGACACCATGTTTCGATTGCTCTCAAAGCACCCTCGAGCCTCGCGCTCTGCTCAGAGCTCAGCTCTGCATCTACACAATTCTTAAGTCAGCGCTGTCGCAAGTACTTGGAGACGGCAGCAAGCAAGGAAACGAGAACCTCGGCAACGATCGTAGCAACAATGAGGTTCTGGAAAGGCTTGTTCTGACGATGCGAGAATCTGCTGAACAGACTACGAGGAGCAGATTCGCAACCAGCTTCGCACTCCTGGAACCCTGACAAAAGCAACATGGAAGGCAACCTTTCAATCTTGAAGCCTGTGCCACTCAAGCAGTGTATCATGTCCAGCCGCGGTGCTAGAACCAAGCAGAAGAAGCTCAGGCCGAGGTTTGTGCAAGCTGATGGCATTTGCAGAGAGCATAAGTTTTGCTCCTCTTGGCCCGGGTTTGCGGTTTTGTTGCTCCGTTCTTGGCCAAGTTGTTGGCTCTTTAAGGTTTTGTGTAGGGTTTGTGAGTGCAAGGTTTGCAACACCCACCCACACACACACACATATGCAGAGAGAGAGAGAGAGAGCGAGCGAGCACCACGACCAACGACAGCAAGCAACCAATCAAACAACTATTCACGTGTTCAAGAAGTATCATTCAATCATTCAATCGTTCAATCATCCAATCATTCATCGATGCTTGTGCGACCCCGTCTTAACTTATACCTTGGCGAGCTGGCCTAACTACTTGCTTACTTCGTGCGATTGAATATTGCCGACCATCCAGCTTTAAGGTGCAAAGCCCTCAATCCCCGTCTAGATTACGTGGGATTTCACAAAACGGCTCTCAACAAGCATCCATGCGTGTGTGTGTGACTTGGCCTCGTGAGCTGTGCCTACGCAGCAACTTTCGCGACCTGCGAAAATGCAGTTTCGTGACGAATGTTTCCTCCCACAGCATGAAAACTTAGCAGACGCGGCCGACGCAGCAAGGTTGTCGCTGTAGCGTGTTCGCGAAGACTGTTGCCTGAACAACGTGTGTCCAAGGATGCAACCCGACGAATGGGACTCCGACGAATGGGACTCTTGTGCCAGCCACAAAGGGCCCCGCCCGACGAACTGGAAAACTAGGCCGCTGCTGACGAGCGAAAGCATTCGCGGCGGACTACCAGGGCCTGCAGGAAAGGCCAACAAACTGGACTGGGCTAAGCGTGAGCGGCTGGCTATCACCCTTGCACTGGGCACTCCAGAGCCAAGGCGGTGATTGAGTCCAGTCCTCTACCAAACCCGAAAAGAATGGCTGTGCACGACCATCACACCATCACAGCCGGCCATTTGCTACAGTAGCCAGCACGACATCATCTCCACCTTCTGGGAACCGAAGTTTGCACTCACTTTGCCTCTCTCTGGAGTTCTGAAGCTTACGGATGTGAATGAAGACAAGAATTGCTTCAGACCCTTTGTAAGTACACCATCAGAGCATCCTCTATCAGCATCACTTCGCAGCCGCCGGGCTACATCCCTGCATGGGACTACAAGGGAATATCAAGGCATGCTGTTGGGCTTACTCACTGGTTACGCGCACGCAACTCATCCTAGTAACACGAAACATCCCAGACCGCCCAAATCTCTCAAGTCGTGTGATTTGGAAGCCCACAACACTAATTCCCCCCCCCCCCCCCCCCCCCCAAGTTCAATTCAAAGCCTGACATACCAATGCCCTTGGGCCCTTGAGTATGCGGGGCTCCTGCATGGGCCTCAAGCTAGCGGCCTTGCCCAGAGATTGCAGCCTTCAGTTTCCAGTTTGGACTAAGGGTTGAGGACATAGGACAGTG